CACACATGCACAGGTATTTCAATCAGGGGAGACAGAAGAATGATTTAAGATAATATTTAATATATAATATAAGTGTACAGATTAACAGGTGATTTGTGTTGATTAAGATTTAACAGAAGTCTTTGCCGCTTGGACATTAGAGGGAGATATTTTGTGATCAAGGGACATCTGAGCAGCAGCAAGATAAATTGCCCCATGGAGTCCAGACACTGGTGGGGGAGGTGGTGGTGGCTGATGACTCTGAGGGTGCTGACTGCTGAAGCTGATGTGGCTGATGAATCCGTGAAGACTAGGTGGAATGGGGAGGTTGAGGGCACGCACGACTGCAGCAAGAAAGAAATACGGCAGAGAAAGAACCACATTTAAAATGAGGAACAGTAAGATGGTAGGCCAACAGGCGGCGATAGAACCGTAACCCTAAAGCCAGACGAAGAAGAAAAACAAGAATATGTTGGCCAATCAGAAACCTGAATGCCTGTGTTCCTCAATAAAATGGAAAAGTAACTGTACAGTTATGAGTAAACATGTAATGAGTCCTGTTAGCAGGTTAGAGCCAGCACTATTTTGGCCACGTGTGCCATTGCATGAATTCCTGACACCTCACAAAGGATGCACACTCTTCACATTGCAAGCCAAAATCTCCCTGTTTTCCCTGTCTATGCGTTAACAGTGAAAAACTTAATTCTAAAAATCTTAACACTGGACAGAGTTTTACAAATGGTCCATTTCCATTGACCTAAAACAGTTTGTATATGGATGAAAGGCTGAATCGCGTTGAAAAATTTGGGTTTCAAATATTCCCTACTATATGTGGACAAGGCCTAAATTGGAATCTATGTGTTGAAAGTACCTGGAGATCACAGAATAACGTAACCCCAGGCTGCATTGTATGGGGCCAGAAGTTGTACCTAAAACCCCTCAGCTGTGATGTCACCATGTGTAAACACACCCTGAAGTACACTACTACGTCAATGCAGCATATTGAGAACTTGAATTATAGAAGGTTAGCAAATACAAGATTTTAAGCTGCTTTTAAGTTCCTGTTAAAGAAGCCCAGTCAAAATGACTTAAAAAATATATTCAAGACCAACAAAGACACCGCCACAGAAGAAACTATTGTGAATGCTAGTGGCTGATTCTGTCAAGCACCTCTCAGGCCAGTGTGTGAGTGTAAAGCAAAACACTGCTAAATGACAGGAATTCGGTGTAAGAAAGTTTGGAAAGAAATCAATCATTGACATTTGTCATGGGTCTTTCTGGTTCATATTATCAAGGACATCATGTCATTAACAGTGTATTCACAAAAACTAATAACTAAGTTTAATACTTGCTACTCTGTTTCAGCTCCGTTGGGATATGTGTCCAACTTCAAGGTGTCGTCCTACACCAGTATGTCCATAGATGTGGAGTGGAGTCCCATTGTTGGAGCGACTGAGTACAAACTTTCTTGGACCACAGGTGATACCCCAGTTTTTCTCTGCTCCAGCACAATACTGAGACTATTTAAAGGTCAATCAAACAAACTCTTTGTTTGTGTTCTTGTCAGACGACCTGCCGGCTCCTTTAAAGCCTTTATATTAAAGCTATAGATTACATTTAGAAAGACGATGAGAAAGATTTGAAAAAAGCATTCCCCCCCACACACACCCCTCCCTCTGTGCTCCACGATCCCTCCCCTCCGAGCCTCATGTCCCCCTTCCCTCGGAGCCTCCTAAGGAAACACGCTGATGTGACAATGTGTAAACATGATAGCAGTTTTAGCTTACAATGCTAAAAATTAGGCTAACGTCTCCGTCGAACAAGTAAACAAGTGTTGACAATATTGCAGACAAAAAATGTTTTGACGCCGTCTAACCACACAAGAAACTAACGGCAGCTTTCACAGTCATAAACCAGAATTGGCATACAGTTATCTATGTCACAACATCCACAATAAAAACGAAATATTACCTGTTCAACAAAAACTCTGCTGTATCAGCATCACTTTTCAGGCCCAGATCTTGCCGGAGCTTTCTCCATCGGTCAAAGGATGACCCGATGTTTACTCTGCTTTGAGCCCTCAATTTGTCGCATTTCCTCTTCGTTTCTGCCTTTTCAGAGGCAGACTTACCCTTCTTTTATGGCCTTTGCCAGTGGGGCACGCAGAGGCCGCTTGCTGCTGTTGCTCTCTTTATTTTCCATATCGAAACTCGTGTAGCTGAATCGCTCAGGGCCTTACAAACCGCTTGTACTTTCAAATGTGGAGGGGGGTTGGGACGAGGCGGGATGAGGAGCAGAGGAGTGTCAAAATGGAGCGAGGGGATTGGACAGAGGGTAAGAGAGAGAGAGTGCAAATTTGAGCAAGGAGTAACTCCCATGTGGACTGGATGGCTGTGAATGGTCAATTTCTTTGCAGACCTGCAGCCGCCAGAGAGAATGGATTTTTTTGGTTCCTTTTGCTCTTTACATTGTGTAGCTGGCACTATTGGGCCATAACCACCATCTAAATGATGTTAATAATAATGATCAATCCTTCTAAATGTAGACCATAGCTTTAAATTTGTGTCTGAAAATGTAAATAGAAGTTGTGGGAGTGACAAAAATATCCCACACGGTTTGTTGCACTGTGTTATGTGTATCTGTGTGTATCTACCGGCATGCTTACAGGTGACAGCAGCCCTCAGTCCCGTTACCTGGATCGCAGTGTTCTCTTCCATCGTATCGAAGACCTGAACCCACAGTCCACATACACAATCACCATCTGCGCGGTGTACGGCAACTCAGAGGGACCAGAAATCTCCTTATCTCAGCTCACAGGTACAGGAAGTGAGGTCTCACAGTTTGTTTTAATTCATCATGATTCATCTTTAGATCTAAATAGCTCTGTGCAGCTGTGCACCCCATTGTAATTAAATGGGTAGGGACAGCGAAGTTCCTCACCCTGCGTCACACAGCACCTTCCTGGTGTCTTTGCTTGACTGACAAGTCATGTACTTTGGTCTTCCCATTTTAACCATAGTTCCTCTCGTTGTCACTTGTAGTATGTGTCACCGAGTCCAAGTCAGCGGGGCCGCTATCATTTTATCACTGTCACTGTCAAAGTTAGTGTGTCACAGTACTCCAGACTCCAGTTGCTAAGTTTATTACACTGACAAATGATAGGGTGTGTGGATAAAGCCACACCAGCTCATTCAGCTCAGATGGTTTGGATTGCCCTAAATTTAATGATGTTTTTATCACAGTTTTTATGCATCATGATTGGAATTGATTAGAGTGTTGAAAAAAAAAAGTAATTTTTGTTATTCTTTCAAGAACTCAGTTAGGTATAAAACGACCTGACATGGTTATATTGTATTGGTTTTCAGCTGCTGTCTCAGACTCTCAGCCAATCCAGGCAGTGAGGGAGGTGAAGGTCGTGGACATTGGAGTCAACTCTTTCACCCTGTCCTGGAGGAAAACACCAGGAGCATCTGGGTACAAAATCTCCTGGATCCCCTTCCTGGGTAAGGGACTACATATACACTCAACCATGTGTGCTTACACCCTGATACTCACATGCTATACATGCATGAATGTGGACACATGCATGTACCTATGTTAAAACAGATTGATGTACACTTACAGAACAGTTAACTGCTAGATGTATAGTTCCCACACCTGGTCCTGACTAGGGCTGCAACTAACGATTATTTTCATTGTCGACTAATCTGTCGATTATTTCTTCGATTAGTCGACTAATCATTTTATCAAAAAATGTGTTAAAATGTTGAAAAATGGCGGTCTGTCTCTCCCAGACCCCAAGATTATGTCATCTAATGTCTTGTTTCGTACTCACGCCAAAGGGTTTTACTTCACCGTCATGGGAGAGTGTGTAAAGCTGCCAATATTTGAACGTAAGAAGCTGCAATAAGAGTATTTTGGGGTACTTTTATGGTACTTTTCTATAAAAATGACTCAAACCAATTAGTCGACTACTAAAATAGTCACCGATTATTTTAATAGTCGATTAGTCGACTAAGCCCTAGTCCTCCTGGCTGGTCGAGTTTAAAGGTATACCATGCAGGAATCATTGGTTACTGTACTGTACTGTATTGAAAGTGAAAGTGAAAGCCAGCCCCAGATTCACTCTCCTTTGGAACAAGCTTTGTCCATTTGGTATTTTGCATTGCTGCGTTTGTGCTTTTTCGGCACTTTGTTCACAATTTTCAAAGCTTCCGCTTGGATGCGTGCTGCTTACTGTCTGGCACCTGTCCCGACCTCACCTGCATGTGTGCCCAGAAATCTCCCAAACACAGCAAAATAAGAAGAAAATAAGAAAGTACAGGCAGAGGACAGAGTCTCTGCAGATAAATACACCACCACACCACTCACATACGTGATGATTGAGAGTTTACTGTTGTATGAGTCTATACATTGTTGGAATACTTCACTCACAAAATGATCCTTTGTATATCACTTACTCACCTCGCATTACACTGAAATCATTTACAAAAGTTGTTTTCCTCGCATTCCTCAACATTCTTCGTTTTCCACTGAGGCATGCGAGAAAAACAAAGTCTTCACAAATTCATCATAGCACAGGGTGAGTAATTTATATACAAATGATATTTTTTGTGGGTGTATTCCTTCAAAGCCAAAACTGAATAAATGGACACCCACAACTGTTTAATTCAGTCCCTCCTGAAGTGTTTCTCAGCAGTGACTTCACTTAGCGGCACTTAAACAGATCCGTCTCTGGCTAATTACATAACGTTCAGTTTTATTGAGAGAGACATCAAACATTTCTCGGATATTTGCGTCATTTTTCAATCACAGCAACTTGTTACTATACCATTGTGCATAATTGCCAGTGAAAAATATCAGTGTCTGGACTCTTGTGGCTCATTGCAATAGAGTTTCAACTATAAATAGGTACACAACAGTATTGTTTTACACTGTCATTATCTCTACATATTAGATGTTATTATTCCCTGCTCTAGGGGGTGATGAGAAGTCTGACGTGGTGTCTGCTGCTTCCACCACTTTCACCATCCACAAGCTGCGGGAGAGCTCGGCTTACAAGATCCAGGTGTCCAACATGGTGGGCAACCGGGAGGGAAGCCCAGTCCTGCTCACTGCACGCACCTGTGAGTTCAGCCTGCCCAAAACAGTGAGGAACGGTGTGACGTGTGCTCTCAGTCAGTCTCAGGGAGATGATACAATACGCCACAGTTTTTACTCTGATAAAGTAACCTTAGGCATCAAAAAGTATGTGTCATTATCAAATTTGGTGTTTGCTATTTTTATTTCTTGGGATACACAGAGCAGCAGACTCAATTTTCTGCGTCCCAACAATCCCTGGCCTTGTGTTACCTCACATAAAAATGGTCCCAATAAGTTCAACACACTGTATGACTGAGAAAATCTATCACACGTGGCCTGTGACTTGTTTCTTACTTTTGTTTGTTTTATTATTCATGTGTTTTTTCTGTTCCAGTGGATCTTCCCAAAGTGAATGACTTTGCTGCTCTGAACACGACAGACAGCAGCACTGTTCTGAACTGGACACGTGTGGCTGGTGTTTCTGGATACCTTCTCTCCTGGAGGCACATCTCAGGTCAGACCCTTAATTCAGCTTCACGTTAACATTCATGCAGTTTTCAGTCAAACAGTGAAGTGAACCCAAAGATGATTATTCCCATATACATTTTATTGCATTGCACATTGAGCCCTGTTATAAGCGCTGTAGCATTGGTTTGAAAATCACTTTAATCCATTGAACAAACTCCAAGTACAGTATGACTCTACTTTGTTCATTTTTATAGGTGTTCAGGATTCCTCAGGGTTTGAGGTGGATATGTAGCATTACACAAGTTATTGCATTGTGTATTGAGTCTCGGCATAAGCACTCCTTTGTTAAATAGGGAAATATTAAGGAAAACACTCTCAAAACAAATAATTATGTTTGCAGAGTTTTACAAGCATACTTTTTCTATGATAGGAAGTGGTTGTGACGTTAATAACAATCAGATATAAGTGAGTTATTAGTTGCTACAATGTCATCTTCTTGGTGTGTTTTTTCAGTGTTGGAGACTAAAACAGAGACCCTGGGCCCTGGTTTCAGCTCCTATAAGATCAGCGATTTGCTCTATGGAAGAACCTATATTTTTACCATCAGACCCTTGTATGGAGAAGTGGAGGGCCCTATAAGCACTGTCTATCAGAGAATATGTAAGACATTGCTTAAATGGTTTGATTAGCTCGCTGACACATCCACAAATCTTTATCTGGCATGCTACAATATGCTTTTTGATTGCATATGATACACACAAATGTCTATTTTTACACTCATATTGTTTGCTCATTATGAATCTATCCTAGTTTATTACATAGAGTTTGTTGTTTTATATGCGTCTCTCTGCTCTGTTCTCACTGCTGGGTAAATCCACAATGAACACATAGTCAGCACTCTCTTGGTTTAAACTTAAAAGCATGTTGTTCTATGATTTTAACCCCCAGGTACACCTGTTGCATACCTGTCACAACCAATGGGTAAAACTAATAATTGTTTGCGAATGTATGAGCCTGTAATGGTGTGTTTACACTACAAGTAACACAGCAACAGGCTACAATTCATTTAAAATGGAAGCCTGTGACATGAAGCTAAATACCAACTTTTGATTATGCTCAGATGAGATTCTTTGTTGCAAGCCGCAGACACACACAAGCCCATGACGATGTGACTGTGTTATGAACACTTGAGCAGCACCCCAGTGGCAACTCTGGGATAATGGAGCTGGTCATGCTGTTGCTTTGTCACTCATGGTTTCAGCGTTTTCCCTTGGTTTTTCTGAGACCAAGGTGGCAAAGGCCTGTGGTGGGGGGCATCTTGACAGCTGTACTTTAAGAAGACAAGACCCCTCTGTTAAATATGAAAGGAGGCCCCCACATGCTTGAGCTTTACACTGCTGACTTGTATAATCAGAACAGACATGTCCTGTGATTTTCAGCCTTCTATGATTATGTTTACCCTTTACAGCAGGTACATCCTGACAGCTGAGAATATTACTGTCAGGCATTGTCCCCCCTCTATTAAATATGAAAGGAGGCTGAAAATCACAGGACATGTCTGTTCTGATGATACAAGTCAGCGGTCCTGAAATGTGTGTTTCTCTTCTATAATACACATTCTACATCTCGGAGGCGACGTCTTTCCACATACGGGCTTCCTTCGCCTTTCAAACGGCGCACAGCTCCGTGGGAAACAATAGGAGGGACACATCCCGAGGGGGAGCGGGGATCTGACACAATACTGGAGGGAAAAGCAGGTCCGTGGAGCTGTGCGCCGGATGAAAAAACAAGCACGTCGCACCGAATGCGCGCCACTACAGTGTCACTTTGGGTTGTGAACGCGCATGCCGCGTGTCTACATTGAAAGTAATGGGTTTGTGCGCACAAAAGACACTACAACTGAACGTCCCCCATGCACACGCATACGCTTTATCCAAGGCAGTGGCCAAAATCACCCAGGCGGCCCGCCTTTGTCTTACGTAGATAGGCAGGGAAAACCCTGGGTGTGAACACATTACAAGGATCGGCCAATGTTGGAAGGAGAACACATGGAGATTGGAGCAATATTCACCCAGTGTGTGTTTTATTTAACGTTGTGAATACAAAAAATAAAAAAAATAGTGTAGGTTCCTCCTTCAGACAAGCCAACATGTTTAATAATCTCATAATAATAATCAAGCTGTAATGGCAGCACGAGGGGAGGCAAGAGCGTTGCCAGTTCAAATGGGGGGTTCACACTCCAGTGTGGGGGAGCCCATCTGTGCAGAGTTTGCATGTTCTCCCTGTCTCAGCGTGGGTTTTCTCCAGGTACTCCAGCTTCCTCCCACAGTCCAAAGACATGCAGGTTAATTGGTGACTCTAAATTGTCCGAAGGTGTGAATGTGAGTGTGAATGGTTGTCTGTCTCTATGTGTCAGCCCTGTGATAGTCTGGTGACCTGTCCAGGGTGTACCCTGCCTCTCACCCAGTGTCAGCTGGGATAGGCTCCAGCCCGCCTGCGACCCCCAACAGGATAAGCGGTTATGGAAAATGAATGAATGATTATAAACTGTAGGTGACAGGACAAGATTTTGATGATTAGCCGAAAAGACCATATCGTCGTCAGATGATACGCAAAGAACGCAATCGAGAAACAGTTCTATGTAAAAACAACAAAAACAGTTTCTAAACATTATAGGAATTGCCTTAACATACATATATAAACAATACATAAAAGACTATTCACTGAGGACCCCCCTTCTACTCTTCTTCTCAAACTGGTACAGTCCAAGGGCTTTTCTCATTTTTCTATTTTGTGCCTGTGACCTGAAAATCGATCTCGGCACGCCCTCTTGACGGATGTCATGGATGTTCCTAAAATGCATTTCGAGTGCTCTGAGTGAGGATGCACAGGTGTATCCTTTGCAGAAAGAACTCTTTTTGGCAGCCTTGACATAGAAAAGGGGTTTCACTGTCACGTCATATTTAAGTGATGTCACTTTAAAATGATGACTCCAAAGCATGGATGCCTCATTTTGTTAACTGCCTGTTGCTTTGACTCCTCTCTCCTTGTGTCTCCACCTGTCCCCCTCCGCTTGCATCTCAAGTGGGAGGGAGTAAGACACAAGGAGAGCAGGTGAGGAAAGGAATCAAGGATGTACAAATTGTGAGATGGGAGAAGCCTTTGGTTGTCTCTGCTGTAAAGCTCATTGGATGCTCTCATTTCCTGTTAGGCAGTTACACTAAATATCATCAGTTAGGTTAGCGTTATCTGTTATTGCCTTGTCACTCTAAACTGCGGGAGCACTAGTAACTCTGAAACACATGCAGTGATGTATTAACCTGCATTTAAAAAGAGCGGCAGCTAAGTAAATCTCTTGTCCCTCTGAGACATTTTTTGGTAGAAATGTTTCAACTCATGATGCCACAGAGAATTCTGTGTAGTTGACTGCTTTTGATAAGAAAACGCCACAAATGTTTTCCAACAACAGATCAGTTTAACCCCACAGAGAGCAGCGCACCTGCAATACTCCGCCCTGTGTGATTTAGCATGGAGTCACTCCTCAAAACCCATTTTTCCCTCTACTGTATCCCAATTGTTGCTGCAGCAACTATGATGTTTCCCTCCAGAGATCTTTAGAGTTTGATTTAGGTTTTTTAATCAGCTATGTCTTTGTGCCTCTCAGTGGGACCGGATCGTCCGCTGGTAACAGTCCAGCCTGTGCCAGCCACAGTTGCTCCTCGTATCACGACTGCCTCCGTCAGCGATACCACCATCACTCACACAGCCATCAGGACCACACGGCACCCCATCGCTGTGCCACCGACTAAACCCATAATCACCAAAAAGCCTCCGGGCCAGCCGATTGTCACTGAAGCCAAAGCAGCAGAAGTCACCCCCCTTCGATTGACCACACTCAGTGTACAGACAACAGCTCCACCAAGACCAGGTATGCTTTATTAATAAATAAATAATAAGTTTTATGATCTACAATGGGAATATTCTACAACTCAACTAAGAAATAACTGGTTATATGATGATGTGATAAATGTGTGTTCGTGTGTTGTCAGTATGTGGTAAGGCCAAAGCAGACATAGTGTTCTTAGTGGACGAGTCCTCCAGCATCGGCGCTAACAACTTCATCAAGATGAAAGACTTCATATTCCGAGTGGCAACTTACTTTCCTGTCGTTGGTCCTCTGGGCACACAGGTTGGTCTCCCAGTAAAAACTTTCTTGTTTGATATTCTGGTCACGATGTGGCTCTTTGGCTTTAAGTTTAGTGTTCGTAGGACAGTTATAAACTTGACTGGATCTTAAATGATAATAGCTGCTGGAAGTTAGCAAACTACTCCAGTGAGTCTCCTGTGCAAGCTGATATCATTAGCAGAAGCATAATGTGCGATTCTTTCACAAAGCTGGCACATTCAGACTCAGACATTGGCAGAATGGATAAACAAGGCACAGTGCCACATGGCTGGCAGCCAAGAGTGGCAGCCAAGGAGGAGGCACCTGCATGTAGACATGCAAAACATATATTTATCAATATGTATGTGTGAAGAGTATTGATTAGGATGCAATGTAGAGTTACAGCTCAAAGTCACATGATGATTTTTGTTTTCTCTCAGATAGCCGTGGTTCATTACAGCGATGAGCCTCGTATTGAATTCCGTCTAAGTGACTTTAAAGACAGGAGTTCTGTGCTCAGGGCGCTCAGAGAGCTACGCTATGGAGGGGGCAACACCAAAACAGGTCAGTGACACTGCCACCCGTCATCAGACGACAGATCATTCCTATAACACTACTTAGGTCCTGCTGTTGATGTCACAGCCTCTAACAGCTGTCATGCTGCTGGACATAAGATATGCTATTCTTGTTCCTGCAACCATACAGATGTATTAATACTGACTGCTGACGTAGCTAGTAACACGACAGAGATTTATACTGAAGATTTCTGCAGTTTAAAGAGGGGATTAAGTTTTGGTCAAACTTGTTTAAACATGGGAATTCACAAGACCTCAAATCTGTAAAAGTTTAGAATGTTTTTTTGGCTGAGGATTGAATTTTACTACTAAGTTATGACCCAAAATATTTATTGTATTCATGTTTTAAAATGTCTCTTATCAAATTACCAGCATTTATCAGAGTAAAACGCTTGCAGAAGTGTCATCATTTGCTCCTAAAACTTTTTTGTACCCTCAGGAAAAGGCATCAGCTACGTTCTTCAGGAGCTGTTCCAGGAGTCCCTGGGGATGAGGCAGGATGTGGCGCATGTTCTGGTTCTGATTACAGATGGCAGGGCCCAGGATAACGTGGAGCCGCCCTCTAGGATTGCACGTGCTCTGGGTCAGTCAAAGTTATTGTAAACCCTCCAAAATGGAGCTGCTAATGAGTTTTACTGTAGCAAAAAATAGTCAGCGTGCATGTAGCAGAGCAATATCATGTATTTTCTTTAATGAATATGTGATTTATAAGACTTTTTTTGGGATTATCATGTTTTGAATCTGTTTCTCTCCAGGTGTCAGTGTCCTGGCAGTCGGAGTTTCTAATGCAGACATGGAGGAGCTGAATAAGATCGCAGCACCCACCAGCTACAAAAACATTTTCTACTCACCAACCTTTGATGACTTCCCTTCCATAGAGAGAGAATTTATCAATATCATCTGTAGTGAGGAGCTCCTCTCCGAGTTCAAACTGAATGATGAGGCAAGACACAAACTAAGGAGTGGCAGATAAACAACACTAACCGAGTTCCGTGGTGGTGGTTTTATTGATGCTAACGTTACATCAGCAGACTCTTTGCTCCTAAGAGTGGCACTATTCTTAACTTGCTGCTTTCACCCTGCATTATAGTAATGAAGGATTGACTTTCGAAGCTCTGTCATGTCATCTTTGTGTTTTCTTTGTGTTGCCCTTTTGGTGCCAGGCAAATAATGTTACGTAGACTAGCCCCTGACAAAGAACCTGATATGGAGAGGAGAGAAAAGAGAACTGGCAGCTTGTGAATTATGCCAGTGCACAAGAAAAGTCCTGGTATCAACTAGCCAGATTTAATAGGGACAGGAATATTAGAGAAACCATAGCGACAAAGCAGCACCTCTAAGTATGGTCGAAGCTATGGTGGAAAATCCTAAAAAGCATCCAAGTAAAGTTTCTGTAGTGCATGCTTTAGAAACTTGCCCTTATTTGCACAGGAACACTTGAAGAGAGCGCTCCAGGGGGCAGGAGAGATGTGGCGAGCTCTCCTGCAGGCAGAGGCAGACATCAACAGTGTTTGTGTAATTACTATCACTGCCAGAGGGGGGAGACAAAAGTTCCACACTGCAGGCTTAATCACTTTTTTAATTAAATCACAAAGACGCTGTAGGAAGGAACACTCCTGCGGCCCTGACTTCATTTTGACGTCAGAGTGGTGGAGCAGTTGTCTATTATGTGTTTGACCAGTCGGTAATGAATTCCTTTATCCTCCTTTCCATTTTCAGTCTGCTCAGTTGGACACCCCAACTGAAGACCCAGGGGAGCTGCTAAAGCCTCAGGGTCCCTGCTCCTCCCAGTGTGCAAAGGTCGGTACTTCAGACACAAAGTCCTCCTTCTCTTCCCTCTTCTTCACTTTCATCATCACAGTTGTCATTAGCATTTCAGTCATATTGAAACCAATGTGAGAGAGGCTGGAAATCACAAGACAAGACAGTTTTATATCAATCAAACAGGGATTCAACAGCAGCACCATGTGTCTTTTATTAATTTGCATCCTGGTTTAAAGGGACAGTTCAGCCCAAAATCAAAAATACATATTTTTCTCTTTAAAGTTAATAAAACGACATCCAATGTATAATTAAATTCAACAACTCACTTAAAGTTAACAAATAATACACAACATCTCAAAAAAGATAAATTGCTGCTGAATTCATTTTCTAGATCAAAGTACATCTCTCCAATTTCCCACCGTGCTGTTTTATAACGCCAGTCTACTCGAGCATTACCACAGGGAGGGGGACTGCTGTCTGACGGCTCTGTAGCACCCACTAGTTGTGGGCAGCTGCATAACAGTTAAGCAACCTTGTACATGAATAAAACACTAATTGGTTTAACTGACTAGTATTACTATTATTAGTACTATTATTTCTGGTGCTGACTAACGAGGGGGCAGACTTTTAATTGTTAAGCCGAATAATCGTGCATATCCCTAATTAATAACATGGCTTGTCATATTGCTCTGTGCTTGCCCGGGTATTGGTATTGCTCGAATAAAAACGCAACAGCAATGCCACTTTCCAAAAATCACCTATTCACACAATCCAGACTGATAAATAACACGTAAGATAAGAGGAAAAACATGTATTTTTGATTTGGGGGTGAACACTGTCCCTTTAAATTTCACTGACAGGTGCTGACATTTATGTGAACTTCTCACATTAACAATGGTTTGATATGGTTTTGTCTTTATTAATCAGCTATTAATCATATTTTTTCTTTGTTTATGCAGGGCCAGAAAGGGGAAAAGGTGAGTTAACTAACATGTGTTACATTGATTCAGAAATGTATGCAAAAGCAGTGTTTTTATTGTCTGTATTCTTGCTCTCTGTCTTTCAGGGAGATGGTTTTGGTGGCGGAGGTCTGGTATGTTTATATCAAGTTTGGTACTGCCTTTTAAATGATAATACTTTGTTGCCACTATGACATTTCTTAACATTATCCACTGCATTAATGTACCTTCATTGCTATGAATTCAACTTTAATATCTTTATTAGTAATTTAACTTTTAGAATAACTTGTAGTCTTTGTTTTGTTTATTTAGAGATTTCGGCAAAGCCCTGGACAGTTTGATCCTTTCACGTCTTCCAAAGGAGAGAAGGGAGAAAGGGTAAGAATCAACACAATACACTTTACCGCTATTGTCATTATTGCCACTATCACTGATGACTGTTTATTTATCAAGATGACCTTACCCTGAATCTGTGACAGGTTTTATTATATATTCAGCATGGACAGCGCTATGCCATACGGGCACAGATATAAAACAGCTGTTTATTTTTGGTCTACCTCCAAAGCAAAACATGGTCACAATGTTGGGTATTGCACACCACAGCTAATACAGCTTAATTTAGTTTCTACTGTAGCGGGGCCACTGATGAGCAGCAGCTGTTATTACAAACCAAGAGAGACTTGGCCACTACAACAACATTAGTAACAGTCACTGACAAAAAGTTAAAGTACATCACACAAAAATTAATGAAAATAAAATAAAATGGAGCGGCAGTGAGCCAGTTTCTCAAATTAGTCCAATAATTTTCAACCAGTCTGTTGAGAACTGGAGTTTTAAACCGCTGTATTTCAATGTCGTTGCTTTTTAATTTCTTTTTGTTTAAATCCTAGTAACATTCATTGTTCATCACACATGTGCCATGTGTGCTGCAATATTTTTTCATTTCCATTTTCTTATTACAGATTTTTAATATTATAACTTCAGTGAAAATTTTACTAAAAGTGAATGTCAGTTCTTTGTAATTTGCTAAATTACTTCACCACTTATTGATGCTGTATTACATTTTTTAATATATATGTAAATAGTATAAATAGACAATAAACATCAGAATCACCATATTAGAAACCCTGGTAAATATGCAGGTAATAAATTGACAGCAAACACATGCTGGTCATCATAGTAACAGGGTTCTCAATAAGCTGCGCTGTTAAGTTTTCAGGTGGAAGAACATCTTCATTGATATGTGAAATAAGATGGTGACCTACAGTCTGTTTACTATTATTGATTCATTCAGTCAATCATAGTAAATGTTAACACAACTGCTCGGTCGCTGTGACTGTATGGGCGAGTGTGGCTTTGCTGTGTGTGTACATTATTCTATTTTCCAGCACAGACCATAATGTTTTAATATACAGGGGCCTCCTGCAACAGATGGTGTACCTGGGCTGCCAGGACGACCAGGGAGAACTGGACCACCAGGTTCTCCTGGCCAGCGGGTAACTAAATTCAGAAAAAATAAAACCTCACATTGACCATTAAAGTTCATTTGATTTAGGTCTGACTCTGAAAAACTATGTTTGTTCTTTTTTTTTTTCAGGGCCCTCAAGGCATATCAGGTGATATGGTAAGATCCACATGACAAATAAATAATGAAACTAAACTAAAATACAGTAAAAATACAGGCGCACACAAAGGACCGGGTATGGCACACGTTCCTCCCAATAAACTTAGTTTACATCCTTTATCTTAGCCTTACATTTCCAAAGCCTTTTTTTAACGTCACCATTTTCATCAAATTCCAAAAACATCTCCCAAGTGTCAACAACATGAGAAGCTTTATTCCTCACAATATGGGTAAGTTTTTCAAGAGACATCCTTCCAGTAGAGCACAATTGAGCGCCTCACCTGTAGCAAACATAGGTCAACCGTCCCTTTCCCTCTCCTGGGCAGGGTTAAACTGTTTGGAAACATGCCCAGCAAGCACAGCCTGGGACTTGAAGGTATTTGGGATGAGGTCATCCAAGAACAAAAAGCACCACTGACCTCCAAAAGCAGTGGTCATGAATCTTAGGATCGAATTTATTTACTTAAATCGATGTGATGTATGTACTCATTACACAGTCATATTGTATTAAACGGAAGGTTCTGATTTCTGAGGCACAGAGAAACAAGGTTTAGGCTGTAGTTAGTACCGCAAGGTAGACTGAGTGATCTGGTGGAGACTAGAAGGCAGAACCAGGGTGTTTGTACTGCTGGGGTTGATTAGTGGATGACTTTCGGGTGAGCAGGCAGATTGGCATCATACAGACACACTTGGGGAGATTCTCAAAGTCAAGGAAGGATCCTCTAACAGCCGAATTTCAAGGATGCTACATCATCCACCCTCGCCAAAGGACTGTCCCAATGTCAAGGATCCTTCCAGATTTCACAAGGACTGAGTCCTTATTTTATTTTTTTTTCTTAAGATTATTTTTTGGTCTTTTGCCTTTAATGGACAGGATAGTGTGAAATGGGGAGAGAGAGAGAGTGGGGGGATGACATGCACCAAAGGGTCGCAAGCAGGAGTCGATCTTGCGACCGCTGCGGCGAGGCATCACTATACATGGGGCACCGGCACTATCCACTAAGCTACCAACGCCCCAGGACTGAGTCCTTCTTTCAGAGAAATTCCAAGGATGCATGTGTGTATCCTCAGCGGGTATTCACTATTCACAGCAGTGCAGTGCATAGCTTCTGTGTCAGACTCCAGCCTGCTTCTCCAAACTGGGTCGTGCTGACCGCCACCTACTGTAGATAAAACTTACTTTGGATAAGTTCCTCATAAAACCCCACTTCAAGAAATCTGAACTCTTTAAGCTCAATCAAGAATTGATGGTCTCAAGTTCGCGCCTTTGCACGTATTGCACTGTAACCATTAAACTTCTTAATATTCTACACATCTATCAGAATTTGAGTTGTCTAAAATTTTTTGCAACAATGTAGATAATAATTACTCTTCGTGTTTTTTCCCATGGCAGGGTCCACCTGGAGCCCCTGGTCAAAAGGGACAGAGAGGAGAGAGGGTAAGTCTAATGCCATTTAATTAGATATTTTTGGGTATTTGAGTGCTACGACAATGAGGCGGATGAACATGCGCTGTTTTGTATCCAGGTTTTTTTGTGTGTGTGTGTATATTTCCACTTTAGGGAGAGCCTGGATATGTTATAGGTGGCACAGATGCAAATTTCGTTCCTGGGCGAAAAGGAGAGCCAGGATCTTCAGTGAGTCCTCAAAAAAAAATTTGGGGGAGTTTTTCCAACAATGAGCTTCAGAGCAAATCAAATAATGTATACTGCATATTACAGGGTCCCCAGGGGCCTCCTGGTGTACCAGGGGTCAATGGATCTCCAGGCCTACCTGGCCAGCCAGGACCACCAGGGTCACCAGGAATATCTGTCAAGGTAACATGGACTAAATGATGACTTTTGTACCATCTCTTGGCATTATATCATCATATAATGTCAGACCAACCTACAGTATTCAGTATGAAGTGTCAGAGTTGTTTTTATTGTTTACACTTTGTAGGGAGATCCTGGGGAGATTGGAGCCAAAGTAAGTACAAAGGCTGTTTTCCATCTCTTCATTTAGCTTTTTAAAAGGGTGCAGGGAAACATTTAATTTGCAGCATAGATATCATGCATCATAGATTGTGTCTACTTGCATATTGAGTCTATTTTAATGCCTCAGAATCAGATGTTATCAGTTATGAAATATTCATTGTTCCATTATTATCTGATAATACTTCTATTATTTTTTTGAAAGGGTTTACGTGGGAAGCCGGGTGTGAAAGGAGACAAAGGAGAGTCGGGAAAAGACGTGAGCTCATTGTTGATAACATTATTGGAAGCGGCAAAAGACATTGCATTACAGTTAAAAGATAATTCAGAGTCGCCCCCTTAAACTGTTTTTCTCTCCTCTTTCTTTACTGCTGTCCCTCACACACAAACTTTGATATATATGCACATATATGCAACCTGCTGTAGGGTACTGCAGGTTTGCCTGGTCCGATTGGCATTGATGGGGTGCCAGGATTACCAGGTCAGAGAGGAGAGAAGGTAAAACTGTTATTAATGAAAACAAATTACATATTTAAGTCAATGTACTAAAAAGACATGAATTTAAGACTGAGTAACCGGCCTGAAAAATATTGCTTTTTTGCAGGGGGAAGAAGGAATTGGTATACAAGGTATTCAAGGTCCTCGTGGAGAGCCTGGAGAGAAGGTACATTGCTAGACCTTAAAGAAATACTTCACCCACAAATTGATCATGTGGCTATGTAACAAGTAAAATCTCATTCCATTGTAGAGCTGTGCACAACGTATTTATTCACTCAGCCCTTCTGTCTCTGTTTATTATGACACTACTACAGGACCAGAGCTCTGTGCCTGGGACAAAGTCACATACACACACAGTGACAGGGCTAACTGTTAGCATCACACAGCTAGTTGCCCAATGGTAATTAACAGGTGTAACAACAGAGCCGAGCCAATTCAGTGTCACTGTGAGATTAACCACTCGGTGTTGGATCTTAACCTGTGCTTCAGGGCTTCAGCCTCATTGGCAAAAGATAACGAGTAGGGATGAGATCATGCAGTCGTGTGTTAGCTCATGCTAACCGGGTAGAGAGGGCAGAAGGAGAACAGCTCAGGGGACTGTCTTTCACCACTACATCGAACGGCAGCAACAGCTAATTGTTAGTAGGGCTGCAACTAACGATTATTTTCATTGTCGACTAATCTGTTGATTATTTCTTCGATTAGTCGACTAATCATTTTACTGAAAAATGTGTTAAAATGTTGAAAAATGTCTGTCTGTTTCTCCCAAACCCAAAATTATGTCATCTAATGTCTTGTGTCGTACTCACGCCAAAGGGTTTTAGTTCACCGTCATGGGAGAGTGCATGTGTTTGGGAAGTACAGAGCATCCACATAGTGAATAAGGTTATCCTCATCGTCTTTCTCTTGGCTGCTTGCTATCTACCTGCTGCTGTTTGATGGTAATAGGGGGACTAATAGAATTTCAAAATAAAGATGATGATGATGAAGATATCGATCAATGTTTTCACTTTGCATCGATGATATTGGATCATTTATCATTGAATCAATGAACAATCCAGATCGTTGGATCATTACACCCCCAGTAGTTGATATATAAATCTATCCTTTTGTGGGTGAAGTGTTCCTTAAAAAAGGAAAAATCAACTACAAATAGAATAGTTTTGGATTTAGCATCCACATTGTCACATAATCGTTTCTATCGACTAAGATAATGGAAACAACAGGCTTGTTGTCTCATGGTGTAGATTATTAAAGTGGAACCGGTTCGCTCTGGATGTATTAATATGAAATCCTGTTTTTGTTTAAGTGATTGAATTATTGTTTTGCAGGGAAATATTGGCTTAACAGGACCAGTTGGCCTCAAGGTAACACAAAAAAATAGGAAGTCTGTTTTAGTTATAATGACATAAATCTGTTTGTAAAATAGTATTTGTCATTAATCTTTTAAGGGTGATCGTGGAGAGCAGGGCATCCAAGGAATCATCGGACCTCGGGTGTGCACATCCTCATTAATGAGTTCCTGAATATTTTACCCTCAAATTCATATTAATTAATTAACAGCTTTGTCCAATGAAATGAAACCAATCCTGTTTAATTCAGGGTTCATATTGTGTAAGAGTCAATGATAAAAGATTTAATTTCACCTGTAGGGCAAGAAGGGATTCAAAGGGGAGCAAGGGGAAAAGGTGAGTTCATCCCACACACGTTCACTCTCTCTTCATTAGGCTGAAAATATTCGTTGTTTAATTGATATGAGTAAGTATTAAGGAAGTTTAATTCATCTAATAGTTTTTTAATTACCCATGGCGTCACACCGAAATGGGAATGTGTGTACATGAGTGTGTGCATGCATGTGTGTGTCGTTATCAGAGTTAAATAAAATGCGTTTTTGTCTTTTAAGGGAGAACGAGGAGAGATGGGACCAGTAGGACCACAAGGACCCACCGTGAGTGAGGATTACATTTCATAGATTGTACCTTAACTTGACAATACACATCTAAACACATTTTAGCTTCTTGAGGTGAAGTGCTGAGACAAAATATTCCTTAAAGGAGCAATGCGTAGGATTTAGTGGTATCTTGCAGTGAGGATTGCAGATTCCAACCAGCTGAAGTTTCCCCCATGTGCCAAGCATGAAGCCCTGGTTAGGATTCCTTCAGTGTTCATTGTTAATGAGGCTTTAACTGGGAGCCAAATTATCCACAGAGGTCTCTTCCTTTCCTCTTCCTTGTGACAGACGGGACACTAACCCAGCACCTGCTAATGGGTGGTCACCTTTTTTCTCTGATTACGTAGATCCTCTCTTCCTCTCCAAAACAAACTAATCTGGTGATTTAAAAACTGGTAGAAACACTGAATGGTGCAGTTTTACATCGAATAAAATGTTTTCCAACACTGCTCATCAAGAAGGGGCTGCTAACTATGGTAGCTGATGTAAAAACAAGAAACAGTAATGGCCCTCTCTGGAGCCAAAGTTTGGTTTGTCCTGTCTGGGCTACTGTAGAAACACAGCATACTCCATAGACGAAGACCTGCTCCCTATGTAGATATAAACGGCTCATTGTAAGGTAACAAAAACACAACAATTCTTACCTCCAGATGATTATACACAAAAGAAAACATACTTGTTATATTAATTTCCTTTTCTGCCAGCATCTCCTCTAACTGCTACACACTGGACCTTAAAGATGACTTAGAAATATATATTTGTATTCAATTACACAGTGCAATATTCACAGCAGGTATCAAACTTAAAGCATAAATATGACGGGAACAAAGCATAGAATCCAATCACAATCTTCCCCATTCCTCTCACCCCAAATAACAGGTGGAATGTCATCATAGGACAGTCCTCCATCTCCTGAATAGTACAAAAAAATGGCAGATGAGCTGAAAGTCAGGCTCAGTATTAAAAGAGAAGGGAGAGATGTCTCTGTAAAAGGCAGGTTCAGAATGATGGAGTATCAGAGTATACACTGGCAGAAAGCACAAGAACAAGAAACACAACATCCTCAGTGTAACTGACAGGTCTGGAAGTATTTCAGAAAGGGGCCTCAAACCTTTTGGGCATGGGTGGGAGAGGCAGCATCCCCCCATCTGATTAGAACTGCCTGTCTGGCCAGCAGAGAGGCAAAAGACAGTGTATGCCGTTGGAATTGCAGTCGGGTGTACATCATCATCTCCGCTGGTGCCAAAGAGGGCGACTAGGGGGTTGGGATGCAGGTCAAAGTTAAGGATTGAGGATAAGGTTAGGAAAACATCCTTCCAGTGTTTTTCCAGGCTTGGACACATCCAGTACATGTAAATAAAAGAAACCTCAGCCCTTAAACATTTGTCACAGCTAGCATTCACATCTGGGTAAATACATGAAAGTCTGACTTTAGACCAATGGGCTCTGAGAGAGGTGATGAACCAGCCTTAAGATAGTCCTATACATTGTCTGACAATGAAGTGTTTGAATGTTGCTCCCAGGCATATTTGATTTTGTCAAGAGGGGCGTGTCTGATCTCTGCTAACCTGTCATAGATGGTGGATTCCAAATGTTTGTGTGACAGGTTTAAGTAGAGGGTATCATCAGCGGTGTTTGTACCAGGTGTTTCACAGGAGCTTGGTATCTGAGAGTGAAGACAATGTCTGACTTGCAAATACCCTAAGAAAAAAAAAAGGGTATTTGGTCGGTTGAACTGTTTTCTGAGGATTTAAATAAAATAAATGAATGAATATATTTGCATACTGCCCCCACCCTGGAACATGTCATAATGTTCCTCTAAACCAACATAATCATAATTGCCTCTACTGATTAACCTGAGAATATGAAAATCCACTTTTTAATTAATTTTTGATTACCAAGACAGCCTGAGGCAGAAGTAATATATTTATTCAGGACCAAGTGGGACCTAATGGGTGGGAATGCCAGCAATACACAATATTTAATAACTGTTTCCTAACATCTCCAGACAGACATTTAGATGATGATAAATGAACAAATGAGGAAGCCATTTTGTTCCGGGATGTCAGGATTAGGCCCTATCAGAGATGGTTATGATTACATATGATCATGCGCCAAATTGTCAAACCTCAGTGGGTGTCTTTATCAAAAGGGCCATTTTGTCCTGCATCAATGGTTTTTAATTTGACGCAGTGTAGTCCTTTGGAAGTGACTATCGCAAAAAAAAAAAAAAAGCCATCATGAGAGCTATCTTCCTGTCTTTTGTAATACAGTTTCCATTTTTTAATCCAAAAAGTTTAGCTTTGAAAATAACAGCTAATAAAGTGCTGGTTGGCAGCAGATAGCGGAGAGTGATGATTAATGTTTATAGGGTATTTTAAAGTTTATGACAGCTGAAAGTGAAGAAGAGATTTGAGAGATCTGAGATATGATTAGTCGGTTGGCACGAAAACCAACAATCATTATGGAAATGACAATACAGATTTCATTTGCTTGGATTTTTTACAGGGACTGACGGGTCCTTTAGGGTTGAAAGGAGATGAGGGTCCAAGAGGAGCTCCTGGAGATCCTGCCAAGGGTGTAAGAAAACTATTTCAACTGATTTAACCTTCAGAAAAAGAAGCACTTAATACTCACACTCACACTTTTCTTTTCCCACTGCAAAAGGTAATAGGCCCAACAGGAAAAAAGGGTGCCAGGGTGAGTAACCAAAGTCAACTTTTTAATCTTTTTTCTATCCAGGAAAATGTTGTTCTGTCAAAGCATGCACCACGGTGGTTCCTTAAAGCCTAGACAAACCAAACTGACATCAAAGAACCAGTAGTGACGAAGGTCAACTGTTGCGTTGCCTCATGTTGCCTGTGTCTCAGCCAAAAAGTTACATTTGTATGCACCACAAAGACTTCAGCCAATGGCCAACTAGCCAACGTTCTGCTCCACTGTGAGAGGAAATAGTCTGATAGTCTGTATTTTCCATTAAAAAACGGAAACTTAGAGACTGACAGGATGGATTCAAGACGTTACTTAGCTAGTAAGCACATTAACATCACAGTCCAGTGTTGAAAGAACAAAGCATATTAACTGTGTGCTAGTGAACAATAACACAAACAATTGTGAAGTATTTACGCGAAAGAGCTCAGTGTCTAAGAAATATAATCTTACCTAATATAACAAATTTGTCTTGATCTTGCCCTATTTGCCTAAGTCGTTCATTTATTTTCATCACTTCGGTTTCTCGACTTGTGCATTGAACTGATCTGCCAATCAGAGCGACTTCATTCAGCAACGGGCTCCCATGCCGATTCAACATTCTGAATTTACCTAAAACCAGCCGACAGCGGCTGACTAGTTCCAGCAATGGGTGACACACTACAAAAGCTAGGGCGACGGACACTCAACGGCAACCCAACATTGTCTGATGGCCAACCGTCCGCTTCGTGTGTCAGGGCCCTTAAGTTTTAAACCTCTAAACCTTATGTTATACACAATCCTTAGCTGCAACGAAAAGAGAAGCAACTTAAATCCTCTGAGCACTTGGTTTCAAGTCTCTCTTTGTCACATACATTTATCCAGGACTAAATTATAAGCAACAATTTAAATTAAAGTGTAGGAAACACATTTTTTGACACTCAAACTCAGCTTATCAGTCAGAACTGTTGTGTGTGATTTGATCAGATTGGGTCGACAGTGGCCTGGTAACAAAAAAACACCATCTGCAACTATCATCACATTGTCATTCAGATGTTGCTTAACTGATTAACTGATTGGTGCATGGAAATATGTGACATCAGGCTTTTTCGGCTGAGAAAAACACAGAAATCCCTCAAATGAAACTTACCAAACCCTCAAAATTTGTCCACAATTACACATTATGTCTTCTTGTGCACAAAACTTTGTTCCTGATTCTTGCAGATTTTGTGCATTCTGGCCATTTAAAATGATAAATTCAAAACATACACCTATAGATTTACTGTCAGTTCCAGTTGGCTATGAACTGTAGATATTGAGTTTTTTTCTGTTTTGGATCCACTTACTGAGGTTTCACTCAACCAATGAGATTACTCATGACTGCAGAGATGCCACACTTGAAGAAATATTTGTAAAACTTCATCATTAAAAAGTATGCAGTGGTTGGGGCGTCGGTGGCTTACGCCGGATTTCCACTGGATGCATGTCCGTTGCGGAACGGCAGCACTGGTTATCCGCTGCATGCTCCGCCGTCCGTCAATACCCACCGGCTGCGTTTGCTGTGCGGAGCGGTGCAGCTCCGCCGGAAGACATCTTGGTGCACTGCCATGATGAATATCTCCTCGTCCATGGTGTTCGCGGGGTGAAATGACGTCTGAAAACCTCTGACCTGTTGACTTCAGGCCTGCCTCTGCCCATTATGTAGTTTTCAAGGTGTAGTACAGGGAAATATGATCCGCGTGAACACTGTGTATTTTATTTTGAAAATTAACCGGATGTTTTATTGTGTTTCTGTGCACGACTTCCTGCCCCGCATGATCTGCTCTGTGCTGAATTGCTGCGTTGTGCTCCGGCGTCCGGCAAAAATAGAAGTCCTGCGTATCTGTTGTGGAGGGCTCCGGAGTGCCGGAGCTGAGAAGGAGCCGGAACGCAGCACAGCCGCAGCCGGTGGAAACACACACATTAACTAGAATTGAATCCTATCGGCTCCGCTGCCGTGCCGGAGCGCAGACGCAACCAACACGCATCTGGTGGAAATAGGCCTTTAGTGGTAGAGCAGGTGCCCCATGTACAAGGCTGTTGCCGCAGTGGCCCGGGTTCGACTCCAGCCTGTGGCCCTTTGCTGCATGTCACTCCCTCTCTCCTTCCCCCCTTCACACGTGTCTGTCCTATCAAATAAAGGCTAAAAAATGCCCCCAAAAATATCCTTAAAAAAAAAGTATGCAGTGGTCTCCCTCTGTTGGCCACTGAGCTGCTCGACCACAGATTCTGGGTTTGAGAAATTAGTTGAGGGGGAAGAAAGTGTTAGGCGTACCCAATTAGTCCATAGATTTAAACCAGTGACACAATAGTCACGACTTCACTTGTATGTCTCAGTTGTTTGCCTTTATTTATCTTAACTGGCTTGAAATAAGCCAGCCAGCCAGAAGGAAGTGATTCTCTTAATGTTTTATTCTGTGGAGACATTGTTAATTAAATGGTCGGGGTATTTCCTGCACACTCAGACTCAGTCCTCTGGGTCTGCTTATCAAACACAATTAAGATTTTCTCTCATTAGCTTTTGAAGTGGGACTGAATGCTCCACCGAATGGGACCTCTTTAATCTAAGTCCACAGGGTGCCATTTAAAGTGAAGAGTTTTGTTTTGAAACTGGTGTTTGGCCCTGGTGACGAGTAACGTGTTGATTGATGTTCTGTGTGTGCGCATATTTCCCGTTCATCAGGGAGATGTTGGTCCAGTCGGTCCCGTGGGCCCCCAGGGAGTAAAGGGTGACCAAGGAGACAAAGGAGAAAAGGTTAATAATAACAAATGGTGTACATCCTGCTTGCATTTTTTTTCACTGCCATTTCTTTGATATGTATGATTCTGATACACTAATAAGAATAGAGCAAACAGCTGTTAGTGTAGAACAACTGTATATCAAGATATGGGTATGGTTTGTTTTGATTTGTACAGGGCAGTCCTGGTTTTGGGATTCCAGGACAGCGGGGCGAAAAGGGAGAAAATGGCGAAAGGGTGAGTCACCTGAAAAACATGAAATCACATATTTAACACTTGAACATTGTTGTCATCATAAAATACTGAAGCAGAAAACAACTGTTCATTGCTATTATATTTGTTTTATTGCTTTAATTGTTAACAGGGAAATGTTGGTTTGTCTGGAAAACCAGGACCAAAAGTAAGTAAAATTTTATTATTTTGCATGAAGTTAAGATTCAGTGAAAAATGCCTTCTTAACCCTTTGAGATCACATCCCTAAACATATTGTGCACCCATTAAACAGTATTATGCCAAATAAAATGCAGAAAATGACTTTCTTAGTATTTTTATATCAAAAATATTTGAAAATAATTTTATTTTTATACCACTATCCCGTCTGCATTACACTCTCAGGGCTTCACTGTTATGACGCACCCACTTTTCAGTAATCATATTGAATTCCTCCCAACGTTATATCCCGCTTACCTATCGTGTTGCACTCAAATACATCACAGTACCAAAGCTAGAATCTCTCCCTAAATGCCGCCTCATCTGCATTTTAAAGCTGCTCTTATCAACATTTTACTATGAGCAATGAGTCAAAGGACTGTGTGTTGTGAAGGTGGTCACTAGTAGTAACAAACCCATAGAGAATTACTGACTGACTTTTGCAGTTACACTAAACTGCACAGATTGTTTTTTAAGCTTCTTTCAGCTTAAGATTTTGCTGCTTTTACTTTGATCACTCTTGCCAGTCACAGCAGTTGTTTAAAACATCAAAACCCACCACATGACAGCAGACAGACAAAGTTAGCAGCTAGCTGGTGAATGTAGGCACTGTTCACACCTGGTATTAACATGCATCTTGGGTGATCAGATCAAAAGTTGACAGCTTTAAGTACAAGTGCAAACACATCTTCAATGCATCTTGAGATGTTATCCCTCAGATCACATTAGGAGGTGGTCTGGGCCACATATGGCTGCATATTTTCAGTTAGTTGTACGTTACTGTGTCCTGAGCCACTATGAAGGACCACCTACTCAGGTGACGTCCTTGCTTATTGACTCTCCGCCAGTAGACACAGGACTGAAGGACCATCTCCAGAGCTGCTCTCCTCCTTGAGGCTGTCAGTTCAACACTTGCTCATTTAGCACGAGCTAACAAAGCAGCAGCTGGTAAACGGCGGCTGTGGCTCAGGAGGTAGAGCGGCTCGTCCACTAATCGGAAGATCAGCGGTTCAATCACCGGCGTGTTGAACTATCCTTGTGCACGATACTGAACCCCAAATTGCTCCCAATGGCTGTTCGTTCCATTAGTGTGTGAGTGTTGCAGTAGCAGATGGTAGCCTTGGCCACCAGTGTATGAATGTGTGTGCGAATGGATGAATGACCCTAGTGGCTAGAAAAAGTTTTGTTTTTACTATTATTATTATATAAAGGATTTAATGTATTTTAGTCAAAGTCTACTACAAGCTTCCACTGCAACTATCAAAACCCCTTCAACATAATTAAAGATATATATTTTTACTAAGGTCGTTAATGTTACTATAACAGAAGTCATTTGTTTGTCCAGGGGAAAGATGGCTCTAAAGGTGACAAAGGGACTATCGGGTTATCCGGCAATCCTGGAGAACCAGGATTAAGAGGTAAAGATGTAAGTAAATCCTGAGTGGCTGTTACAGCAATGATACAAGTGGTTTGTACAATACAGCACAATGCAGATGTGTTTAGCTACAAGGGCTTATTTAGAAAACATAATGTTAGGAGAAAGCACATAGTTTTAATTAAGACATGAGATATATGTAGAATATGATAAATGTCTAGATAAGTCAGAATGATATGTGCAGACAAAAACTATAGCTCAGGGAAATACTAATACAGTACTTAAATGTGAATATTTACATTGTAATACTGGTGACACTGCCTGGTGACTTTGTGTGTAGGGTTCACCTGGAGTTAAAGGAGATCAAGGAACTAAGGTAGAGTTAGCATGTTTACTCGATGCTTTTGTTTGTTTTGTTGGTCAGTGATGTTGCTCAGAAAGATAGCTGTTTCCATGATGATTTGTAATCAGTAAGGTCGTGTACTAAATTTACCAAAGTAATAACATTGTTTTGTCTTTCACAGGGTGAAGTAGGACCCCCTGGAGAGCCTGGTGACAGAGGAATTAGGGTATTTCTTTTGTGTTTTCCAAGACTAAATAGGTAGAAATAAAAAAAAATCAAATAATGCTCAAATACACAACAAAACACCCACTTTGAGTGTTGTCAGCCCACCAAATGGCTGTTATCTGTTGTTATCAAGAGCATAGATTTGAGGTAGTATGGCCATTTTACGTCTTATATTTCCGTTTGTTTGAGGTGGCAACCTCGGCTAGCTTTAGTAATCATGACGGGGGCAAAGCAGGAAGTCAAGTGTCATAGTATAAAGACCGACAACGTTTTCATAGGGAGGAAGTTACGGTGGATGGACAGGTAAAAGAAACATAGGACTTTCACCCAGGAGACTGCAGTGCATGTCCCATGTCAAACCAAAAGCCAGTGTTGATGTAACATCCTTAAATTACAGTGTGTGACAAATGTGCTTATTTTAACACAAACCACAATCTTTTCTTAAACAGAATTACATAGTTTGACTCTGTTACGGCTGTAATCCTAACCCTAATAAAAGGCCCTGTCTAAAGCATTACAACGGTAGTGATAACAACTAATAATTGCCATTTAATGGGCAAATAACATTTGAAAGGAGTGGACAAAAGCTATCTAAGGGCCTGTGAACATGCTCCGTTTTTCATGGCCTCAAATCCATTATTGTCGATGGAGACGCAAGGAAGGTGCGTTCAAAAGCGAGAGTGATGCCATCGTGGCATGTCAACATTTCCAGGCGCTTGTTTTTCAGGGCGAGACAGCTGTGGAATAAACAAAGTTCAACTTTTGGAATGCATAAACATGCACAGCATGTCTTGTGACGAGCAGCCAGATATCTTGCCTTTCTTCTGTAAATGTCAGTCTATGATGAATATAGAGTCATAATTTTAGTGCAGGGCCACTGAGAGCTTTACACCTGTCCCATAGACAATATTTTAGGACTCATACACACTTACAAACATGCCTCAAAGAAGACAATAAAAACAACTGAGTGCTTCATATGAAAATAGACATCATGGACATAAAACAGACGAGGCTATTCAATGAAAAAGGGCATTTAAAACAGTTTAAAACATGAAAAGTGGTAGTGACTTGAGATCCTATTGAATGAAATTTCATATAGTACAGTATAGGTCAGCTCTAAACTCTGGATTTCTGGTAAGTAGGCTATGATACAATGCTGGTTATAGTCGCTTTGCAGTGTGGAGTGTAACCTGAAGGTTGGCACAGAGTAAGCCCAAGAGATACACCCAGCACCCGACCTCACTCTTTCCAGGTAAAAGACGCGGCATGTGTCCTCGTCCTAATAAAAAATATACTGTATATTCCCAAGTCGACTTAAAACTTAAAAGTGCTTTGATAGCATGTCTAACTAAAGAACCAGCTACTTTCTACAAACTATTGGTGTAATAGACACAATCAGCAGGGCCTCATCAACAGATTTAGTGCACTCTGGCACATAACGGATAATATTACTACAGTGTATGCTACATACATATGCTAACATTCTAATAAGTCAATAATATGGTGGAAACTCAATGGAGATCTGCACATTGCATGTACCCGATGTTCAGTTTGGTCTTAGACATTGGATTTGATCGCCATCGTCACTTTATGGATAAATGTTTGATGTAATGCGCTTTGTGTTTCTGTTTGATTTGCTGTGTTTACCTTGCATTGTATCGTATTGTACCTTGTATCGGCTTTAAGCTTTTTGATGTAAATACAAGACTAAATGCTATATTTTTATTTTTGTTAATGTTGATCAGGGTCCACTGGGGTTACCAGGGCGACCAGGGGACCCAGGGGAGAAAGGAGATACTGGGGCATCTGGCCCGTCTGTGAGTCCTTTGAGTTTCATTTAAAGATCTTAATTTAACTTTGCTTTCTGTAAATGTGCTTCTTGAACTCCAGTGTTTAAAAATAATTGTGATTTTTTTCTTTTTCTTGTGAAGGGTGCTGATGGAAAGAAAGGTGACAAAGGGGAGCAGGTATGTCTGTATTCACCATCTCTCTCGCATTGATGAGCACTTTCATTGTTTCTCGTGGGTGACGCCTTCTAATCATTCTTCTGTGTCTGTCGCCACCTTCACAAACTGCTCTCCTTTTGTGACTTTATGATTTCTATTTCGATATGGTCACTAATTAGGTTTTGCCTTTTGTTCGTGCCACCCTTCAGTGCACCTACTATTTTTCCTTTGCGGTGCAGATATGGATTGTGTTTAGAAGTGTGACATATTAGATTTTTAACTGCGATTTATTGTGCTCTTCTTTTGATCATGCTGCCGTTGTCACAAAGGGAAAACCTGGACCTCCGGGAGGACAAGTAAACAAACCTCTATTATCATTTTTGACAGCTTCTCATCAGTTCAGCCATGTTTGACATGGGCATTCGTTGTAACAGTGCTTATAAAGAACAAAAAAAAGCTCTCCCACAAGACTCTGGAACATTGTCTGTTATGAATCTGCTGAAATTGCGTCAATTAGCAAGTTAACTTTCGATTTCTGACTCCTACCAGATTGTTGCAGACAACAATGTACTGACCAGAGTAATAAAGGTAACTTGAAGAATAACATGGCGTCAAGCTTTATTGTATTCAGTTTGGTCATGAGGGATTTTAAGTTTCCTTTTTCTCCTCTCATCTTTCCTTCCATCTCTTAAAGGGTGAACCAGGAGAGCCTGGTCAGCCTGGTTTGAGAGGAGAGACAGGTCTGCCTGGTCCACAAGTGAGTACACGTCACAAACATAGGGATGTACCCCAATCTGAATGATGACATGATTGACATGCTCGTGCATGTTTCTTTAAATCAATTACTATCATAGTGGATGACCACAAGACTGAAATACCCATTCAGTTTAGAACATACTTTGATTTAGGGGTCGACAGATCAGCCTGGCAGATTATCCGGGCCTACATTATGAATTTTTAGGGTTATCGGTGTCGGTGATTTTTTTCCATCGATATGTCGATATACAGTTTTGTTTTCCTTAGCTGCGCTGTTTTGCCCCTGGTGTGCTTCTCACTGCCTGCACATACCACTCTATGCTCTTAAAGGCAAACTCAAGACCTACCTTTTTAGCCTGGCTTTTAATTGAGCTCTCTTTTATTTTATTTTATTTCAAAGTTATTTTCAAAGTGCTGCTGGCAGCTCCCTGTACTCATTGGAAAAGTTCTCAGAATAAATATATGCTTTATTTGCATTTGAATGTAGTGCTTTGTCAGTGTTTATTTTTTAAATTCTGTGTCAACTGATTTTTACAGCAGACATATATCGGTTGTAAATATCAGTATCTCTGTATCATAATAATCGGTATCGGCATTGGCTCTGAATAAACCATATCGGTTGATCCCTACTTTGATTTATTCTTTATTCTTTATTCGGATCCACTAAGGTACACTTCACTAACTAGTTGTTTCATTATACCTTCTACTGTATTTCAGTCAGTATTGATTGTTTAGTCCATTAATTGATTAGTCAGTTGGTAGAAAATAAACTTTGTGACATTTCAAAGACTGAACATTTAAAAAATGAATTCTTTAACTGAAAAATTAAAACACAGATTAATCAATAATGCAAATAATGGTGAATTGACATTAGTTAGCCCTAATTGGATTACAGTTACAGTTGGCATTAGTTGTACTTGGTAGGAGACAACATTGTAATGATGAAACTTTCTCAAATCCTTTGAATCATTCCAGTATTTGAATATTTGTGTCTCTCCACAGGGTCCAGAGGGGAAACCTGGATTACCAGGACTCTCTTTGGTAAGAGTATACGTCATTTTGAATTGCATTTGTACTGGTATTGTTTGTATCAGAGGGACTTTGATTTGTTTTAAAATGTGCATATTGTGTTGAAATATGAAACTGTTTGCTCTGCAGGGTGGTTCTGGAAGAGATGGATTTGATGGTTTTCCAGGGAAACCAGGAATGAAGGTTGTACAAACGTGTGCACACAGTTGTATTACTAACATCTTCCCATTGTGAATAGCGTTGAGATTATTTTCGTTATAAGCTAACTCGTAATAATTGCGTAATAATTGCAGGGTGACCAGGGACAAAAAGGAGAGCCTGGCCTGGTGAGTGCACCATGTTTTTTGTAACAATTTTCTGGTCAGACATGATTAATTCCCTGTGTCTACAGACGTGCTATTGTAAGTGTTTGGTGCCAAAATTTGCACTTAACACCATTTAATACTGTCAAGACTTTATTAAATAAAAGGCTTGTTTTTGTACGTGTGCATTTTAACAGAATGGAGATAAAGGAGACCAAGGACGTGTTGGGATTGCTGGAATGCCTGGTTTACCAGGAACTCCAGTGAGTATCACTATGAATCATAGCGCCTCTGGCTGAAACATTAAATATCCATTCTTCATACAATTCTAATGGTGACACTAAAGCCAATATATCATAATTTTGTCATTTCAGGTGCGTAATTAGCACGAGCCTTCTGTTTTTCCACCATAATAATTAATCTGAAAAATATCTCCAGTGATTATGGTTGTTTTATTTCCTCTGCTCTGCAGGGGAGACCTGGCATTGACGGGAAGAGGGGCTTGCCAGGAAAAGATGTGAGGAATCATCTAACAACTAGAGCACTGTGCTGTGTGATACCCACGACCCAATCGCCAGAAAAATGGTGGCGTTGTACATTTCTGCAAACCACAAATATGCTATATTCGCTTGTACTTATGCACCGAATATATCGATCAGGAGCTCATCCTGGCCTCTAAATTCCCCAGATCCCAATCTGATCAAACGTCTGTGGGACGTGGTAGTACCCTGGAGCCTGTGAAGGCATGGACACATAATCTCTGTGGGTGTCCTGTGGTTTCTGGCGCCAGGGTATTTGCAGTGGATCCTTTGAGCCTTGTGGGTTGAAGGTTGGGCACCTTCATGTGCCATGGATTATCAGATGGGAAATTTAGAGGCCAGGTCGATGCCTTGAGCTGCCAATGCCCTGGCACCCAGTGATGGGTCACCTAAAAAACACCCACCTTTGGAGTCTAAAAAGCAACTTGGAACACAGCGATGACTCACAAAAAACAACCGGTTTTGTTGCGTGTTGGACTCATTCAGTGGTCTGCAGTTTGGCAGGCGTCTTGCTTAGGTGACACACCATCCATCACCCACTTCACCACTTGATGACAACATCAGCTCATATAATATATTACTTTGAAAACATTTGTATGATGTGTATGAAATGTGCAAATGTAACATTTGTGGTTTGCAGGAAAATACAATGCCAACATTTTCTTCTAGCGACTGGGCTGATACACACTGAATTACCTCCTGCTTGATGTCAATGATATCTTGACAAACTTGTTCCAATTTTCAAAGTGCATCACTTTTTTTAGGCAAATTATTAACACTGAACATGTATTTTCTCTTCACAGGGAGAAAGAGCACCAAAAGGAGATGAAGGCAAAAAGGTCTTTGAAATTCACTGCAACCAACTGACAGATCTGTGAAGCTATTTTTTTAATACGTGCATTAACTTTGCTCTCATTTCAGGGGGAAAAGGGAGAGGCAGGTGCAAATGTAAGTGGTTTTGAGATAAGATAAATGTTTTTGTGGGAAAACTGAGTAACTTTAGAGCTTATTTTCTGTCTGTAACAGGGTAAAGATGGCAGTAAAGGGGAACCAGGACCTCCAGGTTTGCCTGGTCGGCAGGTGCTTGTCACATCAGAGGTAAAAACCTGCATTGTCTGTGATTTATTAAACAGCGAAGCTCATTTCTTATTTCAAATCTCTTTCAAGAGCAGTAGATCAAGCAGCATATTCAGAGTTGTTTCTATGATCATTGTCACTTTGGCTCATTTCTGTTTGTTGGTGACTCAGAAAAACATTAAGCAGATGCGCCTAGATGTTCCTGGCACTTTAAACTTTACTGATTTTCATATGGATCCATTCTCAGGGCGCCACCCTCGATGAAATCCGAGAAGCATTCCCAATCCCAATGGGTCCCCCAGGAGCTGCTGTAAGTTTGATGCTGACATGCAACATCTTTTTGGATGTTTATAGCTCATGAATAATGGCACATTAGTTCAGCTGTTGCATGGCATAGTTGATATTTTGCCTGCACGGCATCTGAGTCATCATTCAGCGATGACTATAGCGCTTTTATAGTGGGCTGCAATGAGTCGTGCCATCATCTGCGAGCAGATGTGGTGAGCTTGATGTCATGCATTGTAGATGCATGTTCCAATGTCTTGCTCCTCTGTTTCTGTGTGTTTAGGGTTCACCGGGAATGAAGGTAAGATGGTGATGGGGTTCGTACTGAAACTGAGTCATAAAGAACAGAAATGTTGGCTCTGGTGCTTATTTGTCTTTTTTACAGGGTGATAAAGGAGAACAAGGCCTGAAAGGAGACAAGGTAGTGTTTCATTGCCCTTAAAAACATATGTATATGGAAATTGAAATTACGGTATTTTCATTTCTTTAATGTCTCCATAGGGTGATGCTGGAGCTCCTGGAAAGTCTATTGAGATGAAGGTGACTACAGGATAAAATAATTCCTCCTCTGGGACACATGTTATTATTTTCCCCTTTTGAACAATGTGTTTTTCTTCCTATTTAGGACATTGAAGTGATGTTTGAAGCATACGGCATAAGGGTGCGTTCTGATTGTGTACATTTTGAGGCTGATAGAATTTGTAACAGTATCCCAGTTTGACCTTGTCAATAAAACTTTTTTTCTCAGCTGCCTTTGCTGAAGGCTTTGATCGACAGGCTGCTGCAGGACGGAATAGAGGAGCTGCTTCAGGTGCTCGGCACCTCCAGGAAAACAAAGGAAAAGGCAGACACTCACACCTCCAATGTCATCACTGAGTACACAGTACGTACACTCCGGGGAAGAAGTGTTCTTTACAAAGTTTCATGCTATTTTGTTTGTCATCCCTCATGGGATTTTAATACGCCTTAAGAAAACAGCAATGTTTGCAAACAGTAAACAGCTGCTAGCTCTGCTGGTTACTAATCAGTCCAAGTGTTTTTTCACATGCATGTACTAAATAACTTTCAATTCTTTCAACTTTTATGAATAAGTTTCAAGGTCTCTTATTCAAGCCATTTCAATCTTTAGCCATTTGTTAGAAGATCACAACAGTTCCAAAACAAAGGGCAATAAAACAAAATGATTCTCATTTTTTATTTGTGTTGTCTCAACAGAGTTCAGTGAAGTTTGACCTCGCCAGCCAGCCGCTGAAAGAGTTGGACACTATTGAGGATCCTGATTTAGATAGACAGCTTCCAGAGTCTTTGGTACGTAATCTCAAAACAGAAGTTTTTTCCAAGACCAATCAACTTATTTCCAGGGTTTTCCCAAATCAAGTTTGTTAAGGTTTTTTTTTTTATACTTGTTCAGTACATGTGCAGAATCGTCTCTTGATTGGAGATACTGACAGTGACAGATATTTCTGAAATCAAAAAGTACACACCAGGCAGAAGTAGTTTAGCCCCTCTCCTCATTTTTCATGTTTTAAGAAAGGTCCTAAAAGCTCAGTATGGGTGTAAATACACAGAAAATATACCTGGGAAAATTAAGGATCAGCACAAAAGAAGTGCGTCGAGCATTGCGGAACCAAAACAGGAAGAGGATAGCGCTTTTGTTTCTCCTAGTAGCTATCGGTAGCTATCCCTTGTTACCAAGAGTATCAGTGTAAGGTCTTTGCAGTTACTTTTTCCAGTGGTGGAAATGGCAGATGGAGGAACAACCTAAGTAACTGTGGAAACTTTGCTTGTTGCCTAGCCGCATATCACTTGGAAACGCTGAAGGGGAACAAGATGAAAAGTGGTTTATTTCCACTTTCATTATTCTTAAGGAACAGTGTGTGAGATTAAGGGGGGTTTGGTGGCATCTAGTGGTGAGGATTGTGTATTTCACCCAGCTGAAACTCCCAGTCAGAATTCAGTCATTGCTCATTGTTCAGGAGATTTTTACTGGGAGCCAAAATACCTGCAGAGGTCTCTTCCTCTCTAAAACAAACGGACCAGGTGATTAACACTGGTAAAACATTGAATAAAAGCAGTTTCACATTACAAATCAGTGTTTCCTGATGCTGTTCTGTATGTCAGAGACAGGCCAGTAACCCAGCACCTGCTATTGTGTGCTCACATTTTTTCTCTGATAACTTAAGATCCAGACGTTCAGGAGGTTTTAACTGGGAGTCAAATTATCCACAGAGGTCTCTTCCTTTCCTTCATTTAAACTGGTAATAAAGCAGTTTCACATCACAAAAATATGTGTTTTTTTTTATTTTTTATTTTTTTATTTTTTTTAACACTGTCATTACGGAAGGGCTGCTAACTATGGTGGACAACGCGAAAACGTGAATAGCCCGATCTAAAGCCAGTGTTTGGTTTGTCAGTTCTGGGCTAATGTAGACACATGTTGGTGCTACATGGTAATCTCTGAGGACGAGGACCCGCTCCCTATGTAGATATAAACGGCTCATTCTACGGTAATGAAAACATGACGACTTATATTTTGAGGTGATTATACACTAAATAAAACATACTTATGGTGTTCTATTTCTGCCAATATATTTCCCTAAGTCCCACACACTGGACCTTCAAACTCCAGCAACACGTATACTAACCAGTGCAACTTCATTGTGAAACCAGTGCGTTTCATTAGGGTCATCATACAACACATTACATTGACCATTTAAATATAAAGAGTATGAAAGAACAAAAACAATCTTTCATATTACACTCATCTTTTCACCATCTGTGTAATGTATATTGTCACTTGTATGTTTTTAGCTCAGCTAGGTGCTTCTAGTCCAAAACTGCATCTTCTCTCCCACTTCCACTAATTCTGCCTTTTGGTTTGAAGGAACGTTTGAATGAAACTGCAGAGGGTCCGACTTTATGGTCCGTCACCATGCTGAATGGAGAAGAGGAGCTCGACAGGATCGGCACCAAGCTAAAGGGCTCCAGAGGGAAGGAGATAGTAGACGGGGGCAGTGACAGATTATCATCGCTCAAAATTAATCTGACTGTGGTCAATTCTACTTACAATTATACCACGACCCAGGAGGTAAGGACACTTTACAATAGGGTATGCCACCTTTAAATATGTTATTTCACTTAACTGTTAAAAACATATTGAGTTCATTTAACATGTTGATCAGTTTTGTTTCTACAGAGATGGTTCAAGATCTTTTTCAGCAATATGGAATTAAACTGAGTAGTAAATATTCATAACTGGCAACTTCTACATTTGATAACAATTACCTTAAAATCAAAAATAATTATCTCATAGCATCTTGTCGTCTCTAACGTGTGGATAGCTTTCACATGATGTGACTAAAAAATGTTTTAAAAAATAAAAGTATTGGAAACCCGACCCAACACTTGAGTGTCAGACACAGTTTGAGTTGTCTACCCTCCATGTTTTGATAATTACAAAACAATAGAAAATAAAAATGTGCATGTCAGACGGTTTCAGGGTTACCAGAAACTGTGGCGGAGACTGTTCTCCTCACTCAGGAAGACTCTCTGAAGAAGAACTCGGGACAAAAGAAAAAGAACAGAGAACGTGGGAAGGTAAAGCTCCCGTGGACGTCTCGTCAATGAACGAGCTCAACACTGACTAATTAAAACCACGCATGAGTATCTTTTCATCAACAATTTTCAACATTAAAATATGAAATAATCCTGAGATAATTATTTTTAACAAGATAGAATGTTTTTCGATTTATCTTTGATAACTTAAATGTATACTGTTAAAGGGGCATACTAGTATTGCATGTTTTAGCTCTCCCTTCCAACCTTCCAAGTATTTACAAAAGTCAGTTAAGAGAAACATTACCCACAAAATGACCATTTGCATATCAGTTACCCACCCCATGTTCATGAATTTGTGAAGAAAATATTTTTCTTACACACCTCTTTCGAACGAAAATCTACAAACAGAAAATCGATAAATTGATCTAAAAAGGGTCCGTGTTTAACAACAGCAAATCTCTATCAAAACATCTGTTCACGGACTCTCACACAACTCGTGCAGTATAATGCAAGTCTCATTTAACCAGTTGTATGCTCAGTACTTCCCATACAAACAGACTTTTTCGATGGGGAGCTAAACTAAAAGTTAAACTTACCCATGCTCTCTTCAAGGCCAGACTCCATTGACAATAACAGCAATTTTACCTAACCGAACACTGGAGCTGCTGCTGTGTGATTTTGGTGAAGCTGAACCAACACTTTAAAACAAAGTAACACCAACACACTAACTCATCAAGGCAGCAGTAGACCAGCAAGTGCTCAGCGAGGTAAAATTACTGTTATTTGTTCATTTACCTGTTGAAAAGGGGTGTTGACTGACATACAAGTGGATAAATCAGAGTTCAATTAAGCTCCATGAGGTTATGTGAGAGTTTGATAGCTGTTGTTAAACCTGGACCCCTATGACTTAAATTCATTGAGAATTTTCTCCATTTTTTGGTTCTTCATTCATCGTCAAAGGAATGCAAGAAAATAGAGTTTCTGTCATGAATTCAACGTAACGTATGGTAAGCAATAGATGTCCCAATGGCCATTTTCGGGTTGAAGCGTTCCTTTAAATTGCATGTGGCAACAAGTGACAGGAGGACATATGAGAATGGTATGAAAAAATCTAATCAGTTCATGAAATGTATATTTGATTTGTGATAAATAGGCTGAAACATGCAAAACTGTCAGTGTGGTCCTACATAAATAGGTCTAAACCATGTTTTAACTTTAACAATTAGAGCTTCTAAACATATTTGTGTGAATTAATTTTTGACATTCATTAACTACTTAATCGTCTCTTAATTATCTCCCTCAACTTAAGCCTAGTTCACATTACACGATTTTCACCTTGATTTTGCATCGCGGAGACTATCGTAATCTTTTGAGTGTTCATACCTACCGACGCATGTTTCTGTCAGCGGGAGTCTCGCGGCTAATAAGCAGACCTGGCAACCCTGAGGCTTGTCCTCCTCACATATCTTCCATCCTCGTGGCTGCTGACGTGGGACATATCCAGCCTCTCATTGGCTGATGCTCTTTGTCAGTCGTGTCAGACTTCTCCAGTTTTCTAGCATGCCAGATATCCAGTCCCAGTCAGACGAGCAGGCGACTTGCTTGTAGGCTTGTTCTCACATGAGGACTCGTGGTGGCAGACTATCTGCCGACTCACCTCCTACCCAAGGTGGCTCTCAAGATCCTCTGTGACGTCAAAATCGTGGTGAAAATCGTGTAATGTGAACTAGGCTTAACAGTATCAACTCGTAGTTTCACACTTGATCATCAACGTCTGAAGAGCATGAGAAACCTTTATCCTTTCTCTTTCTGACTGTGAACTTTTTAACCAGGGCAAAGGAAATAAAGGACGACATAAGAGGCAGAGACAACGCCTGGTAAATGTCCTTGAAGGGGTCCAAACTAAACCTGAAAACTAAACAAAATAAAAACCAACTAACACAACCATCTCACGCTGCAAAGGTTAAACACAGACTCTGACACTGGCTGTCGCTAACATGACATTAACATAACATAATGTGTGTCGAAATGACTTTAATACCTAAGACACAATAAAAATAATCATAATAAACTAACAATTTCTAAATATAACAAACAGAGTTAAACAGTTATTCTAAACATGGTGTGGCAAGTAAAACTAAAAGCATGCATTTGTCTCAATGTGCTTCTCATTTTATTGACAATAGATCTGATAATGGGTTGCTTTGTAATTGCTTGGCATTGTTGTCTTCCAGCCATTGACACAAGTTACAAATTATAACATGTAACAGTATCTTCCTTTAATTATTGTCACTTCTCCTTTATCTGAAGACAAGTGACGAGGACAAGCAAGAGGAGGAAGAGGAGTTTTATAACGGCGAAGAATACAGCTATGAATACGAGGTAGGCAGCTGCTGCAGTGACTGACTAATTCAAGAACTGTGGGAAACTTGAGTTTAGAGCGACGACGGGGGGTTGTTACAGATTTGGTGCGTTGTCGTGGTGGGTGGCTTCTTGCTAACAGACCTGTCAACTTGTAATCTTTTTTTTTTTTTATAGCAGCGTCTCATCTGTGCCCACACTGAACACTGGACAGAGTTGATTAATGACACGCCCACTACCTGAATTAATCATGAAGAATAAATTACTTTGTCATTCCAGCCCACTGCATCTGCTCTGCACATCATCCACTGGAGTGTCTGTAGGTTGTTGAACTGTAACAGTTAAATTATTTGTCTTAAACAGGATGAACTCTCACCAGATGACCACTTGGCCTCTCAGGAGGGGAGAGACAACCGACAGGTAAATGTCAAACAGTGTAAAATGTTATGATTTATTTTGAAATGTTCCCTATTGTTATCATATGCAGCCTGAAGTCCAGACGAAAAATCCCTCACCTAGTGGATAAAAAGGTGGAGCATCAGTGATTCTGTAGCCTAGATGATAATAAAAAGTCAATCACTGCATGACTATACTCTGATAGAAAGGAAGCAGAGACAGCTGAGCTCAGTTATGAAGAATAATAACATATTTATGCTGTTTTGTTTTATTTTTTTTCTCTTTGTAGGAGGAACAGTTACCCACACACAGTCCTGCCCAGTTAGAGAAACTGGCGGGAACCTCCAGTTACCCTCTAACATCCTCCACAGACAGACAAACAGATGAACAGGTGAAACTTTAATCCCTGTGATGTCACTTACACTTTTGGGTAGACAACAGACAACTTTTATAAAGTGCGTAGATATGTGTACCTTTTTATTTCTGCTGTCAGTTTCAGCCGTAACTGTAACGTTTAAGACAAATACTTAAGTATGGTGGTCCAACCTGTCTGACGTTTCTGCTGTGCTTTGCCAGCGCCTTTGATAAACCAAATCTACAAGCACAGAAGCTAAGTATTGTGCTGCAGTGGGCAGTGGATGCACCAAAATATATGTTAGCCACCTAAAAAATCACTATCAGTTTGAGTGTATTCTATCTGGGGGGAGCTTGGAGTAGAGCCGCTGCTTCTTCGCGTCAAAAGGGGTCAGTTGAGGTGGTTCGGACGTTTGATCAGGATGCCTCCTGGGCGCTTCCCGTTGGAGGTGTTTCAGGCACGTCCCACTGGTAGGAGGCCCCGGGGCAGACCCAGAACACGCTGAAGAGATTACATATCTTATCTGGCCTGGGAATGCCTTGGGGTCCCCCAGGAGGAGCTGGGAAGTGTTGCTGGGGAGAGGGCTGTCTGAGGTGCTTTGCTTGGCCTGCTGCCTCTGCGACCGGCCCCGGATAAGCAGATGAGATGTTACGTGAGCAGTTATGTCAGTCGGAGGCCTCCACGTGGGGAAGACAGACAGGACACTCAGCCAGTCGTTGCTTTCGTCAGAATTTTCTTAGAACCATATGAGAATGGTACAATTATGAGTTTGTATCTCTGGTGGAATTCACCTACATTTTAGTGTGCCATCAGCTTATTAATAGCATTTTAACGTAAACAAAGGAAAGCGTAAAATTTCCAGAAAGGTAAGTGTCGCTTTAAGGAAAGGAAAGGCAGTGAAAATATTCTTTAAAAAAACTTTTTGGGGGGAGTTTTACAGGACTATATTACATTTGTATCAAAGACAAATATATTCACCTCAGGTAACAAAGACATAACATAGCATGCACGTAATGAGCATGTTTAACAGTAAATTAAGGTTGTATCTCTACTCAAAAACAAAAGGGGACAACACAAATAAAGCAAAAAAAAAAAAGAGTGTAGCTGCACTCCTCTCCTCTCAACAATTAATTCGGGAAGTATGCCAAGAAATGCTGTATCTCCAGTGTCTATGAGGCTTGTTTGTACACTGACAACGTCTGAGGGTGAGTATGTCTTGGAAAAGGTCACTTCAGAGTTAAAAATAGATTAGAGCCAAACTCAGAAGGACACATAAATCAATTCACATTTACTTTCTGATAAAATCAATCAAGGGTCCCCAGATCTTTACATAGTTACAGTGAAGCATCAATGATTCTGTAGCCCAGATGATCAAAAGCCATTCACTGTCGCAAGACTGTACTCTGATAGAAAGGACGCAGAGACAGCTGAGCTCAGTTATGAGGAATAATAACATATTTGTTCTGTTTTTGTTTTTTGTAGGAGGAACAATTACTCACACACACTGCTGCCCAGTTAGAAACATGGGTGGATCCCTCCAGTCATCCTCTAATATATTCAACAGACAGAGAAACAGATGAACAGGTGAAACTACACATAATGGATTTTAATTTAAAAAAAAAAAATTCCATAACCTTTTACATTGTTTCTACATTATTTTGAACTTTTTGAACAAGTATATATACAGGTTTCTCATGGTCATGGAAAACCTGGAAAAGTCATGGAATTAAAAAAATTTAAAAGTCATGACATGTTTTTGTGTGTAAAGAATTGTTAAAGTTTTTTTTTTTTTTTTACAGGTAACCTTCCACATAATGTAACATAACAGCAAATTCATTTTTTGGAGCTGACGACGTAACGTAGCCCTAATATGCATCAATGTGTGACAGCGTTTTGTTTACCATCATGTATGTTCTGTTTCTGTCATTTATTCCAGCCAAGGCAAGGCAGCTTTATTTGTATAGTACATTTGATACACAGGGGCAATTCAAAGTGTTTTACAGAGCAGTAAAATATAAAACATTAAAAGACACAGAAAAGAATAAAGAGAAATATTAAAAGGTACAGTTCATTGCTAAATTACTTTTTAAAAAGGCAGCTGAAATTATATTTGAACATTGCTTGGCATGTGGGGCAAGACATCAAAAATATATATGTTGTGGGTCCTTGAAAAGTCATGGAAAAGTTTTGAAATTTTGTCCATGAAACTGTGTGGGAACCCTGTATACATAAACACAACCAAGGTACAAGAGAATGGATCGAATCCCCTAATCCTAATACACACACTGACAAACAGGGAATAAAAAATAATTGTCCATACATGCTAAAAAATGCTGCATCCCTCAGTGTCCATTGCAGCTGTTTGTATACTGACAGTCCAGGGATGTCCTTTTACTGTAATAAAAAAGGACTCCAGACCTTAAAGGGTGTGTTTCCACCTAGCAGCTATTTCCCCATGTTGTTCTGTTTGATCTAGATGACTAGTAACAACAGTAATTGTTAAATGAGTCCATTATCGAGCAAAACCACTGCATTTGGAAGCTGCAAAACAGGCTGCAATGTAACCACTTGGGGCATGTGCACACTGTCAATTTACATCCTTGAAAGTGCTTGTTTTTCGTCACTGACAGGCTAAGATTATTATTTTGGGTGTCTGACAACGTCATGGAAAGGATCCCTACAAAGATAGACTTTTTTATGATAGAGTAAGACCCTTTTTGTTTAACATGAAACAGCCTCAAAGTCGCACTCCACACTCCATTTAAAAAAACAGGAATTTTATCATCATAAAACAAACTTCATTTAGAGTTGACAGAAACAAAATCAAACTCACAAAATCCATCTTGGTTCTTCTTTCCACTGTTGCAACAATCACCAACTCTGGGTTGGCTGAAATAAACCATGAAGTCATTCAATTAATTGTGAAAATATGCTGACTCTATATACGCTAGAATTACTGTTTGTTCAAATGGAGTTTGGTGGGTTTGGCAGCTGCGACTTTGGGGCTGTTTCTGGTTAAACAAAGGGGTCTTACTCTTTAACAAAAGGTCTATCTCTGTAGGGATCCTTTCCATAATGCTGTCAGACACTTCAACCTGCCAGAGCCCTACAACATGACTTCCAGCAGGCTACTGGTGTGCATGTTTCTGACCAAACTGTCAGAAACAGACTCCATGAGGGTGGCAAACAATCTGAGCCTGTCAGTGGCAAAAACAATCACTTTTAGTGGACGTACATTGATGGTGTGAACATGCCCCGAGTGGTTACATTGCAGCCTGTTTTGCAGCTGCAGGCTATAGCCTTCTTACTCAGTACTGTACCAATTTCAAAAGTTGTCGCCATTAGTCTCTTAGACACAAAAAAAATGGGAAAATAGGGTCCAGTATTGAACGAGAGGGCTCAATACTGGACGTTACCCTTTAACAAAGTTACAGTATGAGTCAGACGAAGACTCTCTTCCAAACTAAAGACAGGAAACTACGTCATTGAGCCACTTTTTAAAACAAGGAGCGAAGGTTGATTTCCATTTCATGTCGCAGTTATGTCTACATAGATCGATGGCTTGAACTCAATAACCCTCCCCTTTTGATTTTTTTATACCCCTAGGTTGCCTTGACAACCACAGAGCCATTATCTCAACCCATGACTGATAGAGAAAAGGTACGGAGGGCAGCTGGCCTTGTTGGTGTCACATATAGACTCTTAATCAACGTGGTGCTTCACTTTCGAAGCGGCACTGTCACTGCTGTCACATTCTTATCTGTCCTTTGTTGTTATAACCAGGATGAAGTGTCACTTCCGTCACCTGCCGTCACAACAGAAGAACCAGATAAGGTAGAGCTATGATTTGATTTGAGACGCTTGAATTTTAACTGAATGTCTCTGAAGACTCTTGCATGCCTTGGAATGCACATCTCTTTTGTTTACACTTAACACGAGGCGCCTGAAAGTGATGGACAAGTGCTTGAACAAAATGAAGGATGGGCTTCACTTTCTCCCTGTCGTAATATATACTGTTCCATAAATAAACCATGCTTTAAGTAATACGCACTTGGCATCATTTTTCAACACCTTTTCTTCTTTCTACTTCTTATGAAAATTTCACCAGTGCAAAAAAGTTTGTATAAGGCGAATGTGAATACAGTGGGAATGGAAATACACCATCACAGACATTACCAAAGCATGAGACAGGACAGCATTTCTAAGCAGCATGCTTAAGTATGATCTCTCTAAAGCTTGCCTGAATGGGAATGAGCAGAAATAAAAGCCTAGTCCGACTCTGACATGATTTACTGGCAAAAAAAATTTACAGAGAGTTACTTTTAATACTTTCTCTCTCTCATTTTTTTAAACAGGACGTCTCTTAAGTCCCAAGAGACTGTGACTATAGGGCGTTAAGCATTCATAAGAAAGCACACACTGCATGGAGCGTGTGAATAAACTGTGAACTGTTTTGCTGGTGAGGAGCCCTGAACCTGACCAACGTTCATGAGGAGGGACTTTCCACACAGAGACGATGCCACTCATCCAAACCTAAGTTCATATCTTGTATGAGGGCTTTTATTTTGAGTAGAGCTCTATAAAAAAAAAAGAAAAAAATCAGGCACCGCTGTTCAAATATAATTGTTTCCTCATGTCCAGGTTACATTCTTCACTTTGTTCCATGTAAACGCCAGTGTAGCCTTTACCTTGTCTACAAATCCTTATTTATTTATTAAGACAAATATTTCTTTGTAACAAATAAATATCACATCAGATTAAACGCAAAAACTTGTGCCAACAATTTCAATACATATTTCCTTTTGGAGAAGATGTACTGAAATATTATTTATTGAAACATGGAAAATATGTTGTTTTTACTTTACCCTTGAACACCAATGATATTATTCAGAGTAATACAAGCATATCAAACACTCTTTTCACTGGTGAAATTTTCCTGTTATTACATTGTTCTGTCTGTGTTTAACCTCTCTGTGCATGGATCCTTCAGTAAAAATGTTGAAATAACTTTCGAAGCTAGTCTGTGTCTTTATTACAATTTTGCCATCAAAGCACATCAGACCAGTGGTTCCCAACTGGTCCAGCCATGGGTCCAAATTTGTCCTTAGTCATTAGTTCAAGGTTTAAAATATTCAGTATGCTGTCTCTGTTAAGTAGCTGTCTGTTATTCAGTCACTCTACAGCAGGAAACAGCAGTTCAAAATAAAAGTTCTGTGCCGGATATTGATTGTACTTCAAAATAAAGTGTGTTTTTACAAACTTGCAAGTCACTTGTGGTCCCTTCAGAATAGACCCATGATCAACTTTTGGATCACGACCCACCAGTTGGGAACCATTGTCATAGACTGTATAAAAAAAGTCCACGTGGCCTCCTGGTTTTAATGTGAAAGTGCCTTAAACTTGCATTCTTGCTCATGGCCAGCAGGGGGTGACTCCACTGGTTGCATAAAGAGGTCCAATTGTACAGAAATAAGAAAAGGACCCTACCTCTCACTTGATTTATTACCTCAGTTAACATTTTCCTAATGAGGGTATGATCTCAATCTCTAGTTTAAAGTCTACCTCAGTACAGTATGATAATCAATTTGTAAATGACAATCCCATTTAGAGTAAAATAGACGTTAAAGCAGGATATGTTTAGGGCCTGGCTACTGTTTGATTAAGAAGTCATTACCCCCCTCAAACCCTTCCTGCAAAAATACTTGGAGGCAGACATTATTGTCGTAAAATCGTTGTGGCACACTCATTTTTCAAGATAGCTTAAAGGTAGTTGTCAGACCAGACAACCTAAGGCTATTGGTACCAACCATATCAGCATAGCTTGTCTGGGAGGGAGCTAAATAATGCTGCATAGTTAGCGTAAATTTTGGCAAAGGCACAACTGGCATGGCAGTTTTCAAAGAGGTCCCTTGACCTCTCACCTCAAGATATCTGAATGAAAATGGGTTATGTGGGTACATGAGTCTCCCCTTAACTTGAGAAAGATTGTTCCCAGTAAATGTTTTGTTGCTTGCAATCAGTGTAGTCCCTCAAATTAAAGCTGAATGTTTGTCTTATTAACGAAAAGAACAACCAGCCTATTTGAAGAAGAATGAATCGCCTAACAAGTATAGATACATAACACATAAAAACAGGATTGTTGTTACACTCAAAATGTTAAATGTGCTGTTTTTTAACTAGCTTACATACTTACACAGCATAGGAAAATTCCTGATGTTCAGTTATGGATTTTGGTTTTGGTGTACCACCTCAAGATTCTCAGTGGCCCCATCTGTTCACCCCTATTTCTGGGGGCGCCACTGGCTATCACAGCAACCTGTTAATCCAGATAGATCCATAGCCAGGGAGTGCTGCAGGGGATGATTGTAATCCAACCCAAAATTAACATTGCCCTGGCTCCCTCAACAAAAAGCCAACCGGGACTTTTCCATTGGATTTTTAATGATTGCAGAAAATTAAGCTCTGTGGCCAACAAAAGTTTATGGCACTTGCACGTTCTATTCGGCAATATAATCGTCACAAATGAACACCACTTTAATAACATATGAGGCATGCAGTCGCCAGATGTAAAAGCTAAGATGAGACCATAAACGAACTACGCCACACTTGCATAACTTCGTCACCACCCAAAAAGGCTGTAAAGCTGTGTTTGACGTGGTGATGTTTAATGTTCCTGACAACCTCTCTAGTCTCATTTAGCGACTCGTTAGCACCCCCCTTTTATAAGTCACGTAAAAACTTCAAAATTCAATATATTGCAGAACAAAATGTGAAAATCTCTCAAGCTTGCAGGCATGTAACCCAAAACCCATTCAAAAAATGTTGACAACATGTCGAGGGAACAATACGTGCAAAAATGCTAATTCATTTCCAAATTTTAGGACTCATCCCTAAACCAATTTATGCTTACCCTACCCAGCTTTACTGTCTCGTCCAAATATGGCCACTTCTGACTCCAACACCAAGATGGCTTCAAAGCAGTAGTCCATTAACCGATGGGTGATAGCACTGTGGCTCTATCGACTCCTGTTATACAGTCTGATTGGAGGTATCAAAAGTGTTGCACTCAGTTTGCTCATGTGAAGTTTTGGGGAACTTGACAGGTGCCTCGATCCAAAATCAGGGTGAAGAAGAGCGCCCCCTGGCCTGACTCCATGGTAAGTGTCACTTTTGTAGAAAATAGATTGCTAATAATAAAGATAGCAGCAGTAATCATTTTTATATTTTAGGTGTTCATGCCAGGTGCCCCAGGTGGAAGACGTCGCTTCAAGGAGGCACCAAAAGTAACTCTTAAAAATTCAAACTTAATACATGTGACTCAGATTGTTTCAAATAAAGTATAAAATATGAGATTGTCCCTTTATTTAATTTCAGCATCTGTCCTCTGGAGCTCAAGGTTACATCTGGAGTGTAAGTCTGTTTTCAATTAAGTATTAATCCAACTGGTGAAGATGGTGTAAGATGGTGCAACTTATAAAATCATTGATTCATCTTATAAAAACTTGTTTCTTTAGCAGAAGAAGCAAGAAAAACCTGACCTTCAAACACATACCAGGAGGCAAGAAGTGAGGGAGAGGCAGCGATACAGTGATGCAGAAAAAGAGACACAAGATGGAGGAGAGGAACCGACTGAAGGAGAGGAGCCGATAGAAGAAGTGGAACCAACTGATGAAGTGGAACCAACTGAAGAAGTGGAGAAGTGGGAGGTAGAACAAGAGAAGGGAGTAGAGATAGATGGAGATACAAAAACAACCCCTGATCCAGACTATGAGGAGGAGGAAGAGAGGAGCGGAGACTACGACTGGGAGACAGAGGAGGACGTGGATCGAGAGAGGGGAGGAGAGGAAGATGCCGACCTGGAGAAGGAAAGGGAGCGGGAGAGGATGGAGATGGAGAGGGAGAGGGAGGAGCTGGAGAAAGAGAAGGAGGCCGAGCTGGAGCTGGAGAGAGAAAAGATGGAGAGGGAGGCCGAACTGGAGCTGGAGAGGGAGAATGAGCTGGAGACTGAGAGGACAGAGGAGGAGGAGAGGGAGAGGGAGAGGGACTTGGAGAGGGAGAGGGAGAGGGAGGAGTGGGAGAGGAGGAGGCTGGAGATGGAGAGAGGGAGAGAGGGGGGTTATGATGAAGAAACTGGACAGCCATACCCATACCCTCCAGAGTATTTCTACCTCAAGGTACGGGCACACAGTGTTCATAACACACGCATCATTATGACATACTCAAAAGTAGGCAGAATAAATGTCACTTTAATTATGTGATGCTTTAAATGTACTCTACATTTCTTATGCAACAGGGACATCCAGGTGAGAATGGAACGCCTGGACAAAAGGTGACTATAGATGTTTTAAACACTAAGATAAAACTTTATTAAATATGGTTACCTTTGTAAAGCCAAAGACACAATCAAAGATGTGAGATTATGAAGACACACATGCTGTGTTCATTTCAGTTACACTAATAGTACAAGATTTAAAGGGAAACTACGGTTTTCCCATGTTTTTGTGTCCAAGTTACTAATGGCAACAACTGAGCCAGCTGTATCTGACGCACGTCCTGTATTAATGATACTTGTTACCTGGAGAGGTTGGAAAGAGATATACGTTTCTTCCCTGTTCCAAAACCAAAATCAAACCCTGAAAAGTGTAGGGTTAGCTAGCTAGCTACTGAAGTTATAGCCTACTGAATGTATACACATGCTGCTTTTGCTTTTTAATGATCGTAACAGTGAAACAAAGACCGACCCTGCTGTACAGGAACCAGTGAAGAGAAGCAGGGAAACTTTGCTGATATTCAACCAGCTGTGTGACATGACATTGTGTGCAGATGAATGTTGTTTGACTTCTCCCGAAGATTCCTGCCTGTCCAGCAGTGGAGATCCGGGTGCTGACAGCGGCACAGGGTCGAGGCCAAAAACCGCTCATCTGCACACACTGTGATGCCATACAGCTGGTTTAAAATTACAAGAAACTACAAGTAGCACAATTAAGCAGTTTTGTGGTATTCAAGCTCAATTGTGTATTTGCTCAGTCTTGTCTTGATCTCAGACAAAGAGGACTTGGGATTTTATTTCAAGACCTGTCAAGACCACTACTGTGAGGATATCACTAAATTGCCTGTGCTCAGGCTTCAGGGATCAATAAAGTACATGAGTTTATCGTATCATCCTCTGATTCCCAGCTACACACAAAACCATGCATTTTACATCAACAACAAAACTTTTATTAATCCATGTTGGGCCTCTTTATATTAATTTCCTTTTAGATTCTTTTTCACTTCAGTGAAGAAGGTATCCATCTTTGCACCGCCTTCAAATCTCTGGTGCTAATGTTCAGTAGTAGTATTCAGACCCTAAGCCAGCCTAATCATCATGCAAGTTACACACAGCACTTAAGCGTTTGTATCGCTGACCATAGTTCTTCGTAATAGAATGGGACCTGACTTTGACCAGACTGACCGTGATAAAATATTGGCCTTGAACTAGTACGGTTCCTGAGTTGGGTTTGGGGTCCAAGGGTCTGGGTAGACTCATGAAGACCTATATCATGTGTTCTGTTATTTGGACGAACTCACCCTTTAAGCTGAAAATATCCTTCCATTGCCAGGATTTACTGAGTCGCTGATATCGCCTCTCTGATTACACTGATATAAAGCATCATTATCATCATCCTGAGATCACAGAGCAAGAATGACAGTCGCCACACAAAATGTGCCACCAGTTCATAAAAATATCATGGCTGCTCTGCCCACCTACCCACGTTGCGTCAGCGAGTGACATCAGAGCTGAGGGAGAACTTCTCTCCCGTCTCGCCTGTCAATTGAGTCCAGGCCTTTGATGTCACCCTCTGCTCTATTTCTGTTTGACTGGGAGACAGTAGATTAAAGCAGACATTAATAATTCCCCATGTTAAACATCCTGACAAGTCTGCTTATTCTTTTCTGTTTTTTTTCTATTTCAAATTCCTCTGTGTTGGTTTATTCTGACTCATGAAAAACAATGTGCTGAGCTGCACTTTTTCACTGATATGTGCTCTTTTTGACAGGGGGACATTGGAGAAAAGGGACAAAAGGTAAATATTCATAAGCTGTTAGTTATTTTAGTTTGTAACAGTGAAATTTGGGAGTTGCAGTTTGAATTTAAAGCAATTAAAGCAACATATATACACATTTGTTTTGTGCTTAAAGGGAGAGCCAGGCATCGGCCACAGAGGTCCAGAAGGGCAGGCTGGTCCTCCGGGACAGAAGGTGATATTTCAAACGAAAAAATAAAAGCAATCTTTTATTAATAACACCCACTCTAAATCAATTAATCCCCACAGTCTTTTCCATCAAGTTCTCTTTGATTGACTCTGCTCCTCATCGTGGCTTTTAATTTAGTGAATTTAATTGGCTCAGTGACTCACTCACTCATTTGAAATTGTGTTTGAGCATATAAAGTGATAAAGGAGTGAGAGACTTTATCTGAAAGCAATTATTCAAAAGTGATAGAAGAGCTGAAAAATTACATTACATGAAACAAGTGACCTTTAACCGTGTGCTTGTCTCCAAAGCATTTCATTTGTCTCTATCTTTCTCTCCCTATTTCCTCTATCTTTTTCTCTTTGCCTCAGGGTGAGCCAGGTGAACCAGGGCCTCCAGGCGCTCAGGGCATCCAGGGTATCAGTGGTAACGCAGGCATGCAGGGCTCCCCAGGCCTTAGAGGTCCCCAGGGGGACCCAGGAGACCCGGGCAGAGAGGTACATCATCATATATTAACTCACAAGTTGCCATTTATCTCACTTTTATCTGTAAAAATAAAGAAAATGGAAGCATATGAATAGATGCTTTATAATTATGAATTAATGCAGGACAGAGAGGGTTGTGCTGTTGGGTTTAAAGGAGACATGAGATGTTTTGTGTGTTGACACAGGGTGATAGGGGTAAAAGGGGAAAGAATGGATCGCCTGGACCTCCTGGGCCTCGAGGAACACCTGGACCTCATGTAAGAAAATACAAAGCAGCTAAATGATAATCCAGTCGCCAAACAAATGTTGACATTGTACGTTTTTGCAAACCACAGATACTTTTTACTACTTGAAATGCAGCTATGTCAGTTTTCGCAGCACTATCCTGGCAGGTACCGTGGCGATGTCTCACTAAAAACAAATGCTTCTCATGGCACTATCCTGAGTGGGAAATTGCCGTTGGCTCACTAGACTACACGCCCACATTTGGTGCAGAAAAAGCTGATGAAAAACAGTTACGACTCCCTAAATCACAAACGATTTTGTTTTTTGTTGGTCTTGAACAGTGGTCTGCAGCCTGGCAGGTTCGTACACCTCCTGATGACAAAGTCTGCTCATATACAACGCCACTTTTGAGACCTTGATATGATATGTATGAAACGTGTTAATGTAACATATTCGTGGTTTGCAGAAACGTACACAGCCAACCTTTTTCTTCTGGTAACTGGGCTGTAAATAATTTTTTTCAGAGCCCATAAAGTCCCATAAAGTGATATTAGATAACAAGCAGTGTGCACAACATAAAAACCTGTCACTTATTGGGGCTTTAGGGGCTCTATATCTTTTCGTGATTTTAATGGTTTTTCATGGGGCTGTCTGCATCATGTATAGTAGATTTTCCTTCATTACAAATCATTATCATTAATTGACATTCGTGAAAGTTTTGTAATTGCCAGCTGGAAGCGATGTTTACTGATATTTTCTTTTGCTTCCACTGCATCTCTCTAATAAAGGGTCCTCCTGGTCTGCCTGGAGTAAAAGGAGAAAAGGTACAAATAATATTTGAGTGCTAATATTTTGACTGGCCCACGATTCAAACATAATAGTATGAGAACTAAAAGTTTAATGTTTGTATTAGCAGCATCCTGTTATTGTCATTTTGATATATGCCGTGTAAAAAAAAGATCATTGCTTTATCTTCTCCTCATCAGGGTGACAGTATTCCTGGAGAGCCTGGTGCCAGGGGGTTGGCTGGCTTCCCAGGCAGACGGGTGAGTTGAGTTCAGCTCGTACATCAGACTGTGCCGCTGTGATGGTGCAACAATTTGGACAGGGTCAGTCTATATTTAGGTTAGAGGGAACAATGATCTCACTTGATGTAATGTAACTGTGTTCACCAGTCTGTGGGGCATCTAATCTTACCCGGTCTGCCCATTAAGGTTTTTGACATACAGTATTTAGCACATTCCTGTAATGTTAATGTTAACTTTCTTTCTTTTCAGGGTGAAAAAGGTCCCATAGGTGTGAAAGGAGCTCTTGGGCATTTTGTGAGTAACTTTTCAAAACCATACAACTGAGTATAAAATTCTATTTAAGACTATTGCAATTTTATGTATGTGCACTTAAAAACAAAATCCTTTTATTTGATCTTTTTTTTTTAAGGGTCCAAAAGGTCTTCGTGGCAGCAAAGGGGAAAAGGTGAGCTGTTATTTGACATTATTTGCCACAATTGTATCTGACACGCTTTAAAAATTCACTTTTTCTTATGAGTCTTCCACTTAATTCACCAACTTCATCAATCATACTAATACTGACATGCTATGATGTTTAATACCAGTCAAGAGTCTCCAATTTCAGCAAACGAGGCTTTAAGCTATTAAAACTCCCAGTTCAGGCAAACCACCTGTTGCATGTCATCCAAACGTCACATTGAAATCAAAATGTGCTCCACAGGCCCCACAACCCTTTTACATATGATCTTGTCTTACACAAAGCTCAGAAGGTTTTAGTCAGCTATTTTCAGAACCGTTTTCCGAAGGGTTAAATGCTCAAATTGATGGTTGCCCTTTGCTAGCAATTTTCAGCGCCTAGAATCACACTACCCTATGTCCGACATGATTGCTTTGCTCCTGCTCCTGGCAAGAGTAAGAATACTTTTATGATGAAATCTCCCACTCTGCCTCTGTACTCAACGTGGCTCAGTTCACCCTCAAAGGGTCAACAGACTCACTCTGTAAAAGGTGGTTTCACCTCAGGGACCCAGGTCCCCAAGTACAGTTGACCGCAGTTTGTTTGACTAGTGTGAATACTGTGTACCGTACCTGGACATGGTACGCTGATCTGTGCCTGAGTCCCCTTAAAAAGGTGGTCATAGGCACAGTTCATGTGTACTCGTCACAAAGCAGTCTCAATTTAATACTGATGCCTCTATATCAGACGGCAGTGCAGCCTGCTGCAAACACACCCAGTCAAAGCTCCAGTGGGAGGTGGCGAGCTCCATGGCCCACGAGAAAGGAGCATTTGGGACAGTCGTGCTCAGGCACAGTGCCAATCAATCATACCTAACATGAAAATGTCCTTACACTGCCTAACGCCTGTTTGTGATCATGTGCCAGGATTTTTGGAATTCAGCACTGATGTATGTAAATTTTGGTGATGACCAGTTAGTTTTTATTTATATATTTAGCGTATTTTGATGTATATTTATTTATCAGCACCCCACAGGGCATTCAAGTAACATGAAGTTTCTGCCATATTGTCCTGATAAAATTTCCATATATGGAAGACGAGACTTTAGCTGTTAAAGGATGCATGTTGTCATCAGCAATGTTTTGTTACATGACGCTCTACCAACCAACCCAAACTTGAATCCTTAACTATAACATCACCAGTGTGCACCACCATATGATGGAGCAGACGAAGTATACTTTTTAACATTGGTGCTATTTTCAGAACTCTCTCAACCCCAAAGTGTTCACCCAAAGGATTTTATAGCTCGATATGGTTTACTACTTTCAGTGCAGTTTCTGTAAAAATCTATACACTGTGGTGCACAAAAAACATGAAGGTGCTGCGATTTCAGAGATGCTGGATGATCAATGTGCTCCTTGACGTTGGCTACCTGCCTGTACTTAATATTTATTTACACATAACTGGTTGTTTGCGTCAGCAGTGAGGTGTGAGGTTTGAGTAAAGAGGGCAACACTGATATTTGAACGCTCTAGATCAGGGGCGTCAAACTCATTTTAGTTCATGGGCCACATACAGCCCAATTTGATCTCAAGTGGGCCAGGCCAGTAAAACCATTGCATAATAACCTATAAATAACAAGCCCTTTGAAAAAAAAAATTTAGCGCTGGCCCCTGGGTCATATGTTTGACACCCCTGATCTAGCTGCTCGTACAGACTTGTTTTTATTTGGAAGATAGCAATGTCCATTTCATTTTGAAGTGTATAATTCAGGTAGACTGCCTTCATATTTGTCTGTCTATTTGTCACTACTTAAGTCTCGGAGCTGAGTGACTCATCTTTGTAGGGTCCCGCTAAGCTTTGGTCATGTTGTGGACAACAGCTGTGGTATTTTATCAAAGGTGGATTACACTGGACTGGATTTTATTGTACTGTGAAGGGATTTAATAAAATGTTGTGAGGGCTCAGCAATTTTTCTGTCACTACAGCAAAGCAGGAAGAGATTTGAAGTTATATGTGTACTTTTGTTGACACCAAGAATCGAAATAATGATGTTTGAAAAGCCGTTTTCAAAAAGCTTTTTTTTATTGCAGGGTGACCGAGGGTTGCCTGGCATCAGAGGAGAGAGGGTATGATGATTTTCATGTTTCTTTGCAGGGTAGCTGACAGTACACATTGTGTATCATGCAGGATATTAAACAAGAAGTCTCCTTGATTCAGCTCTGTAGACAGTGTTGCCATGGAAATTCATTTTGTTTATTAATTCATTGTTACAAATTACATTTATTTGCAGCTTGTATTCACAATTTAATCCTTACCAACAGGGGAGCGTGCTTCAAATCCAAGGACCCCGAGGATTTAAGGGTTCCAAAGGAGAGGCGGTGAGATGCTTTATTACATTTGCCACCTGGTTTAAATTCAACACAATTCAATACAAGGTTATTTGTTCTTAGGAGGGCAGTTCCATTCAGCCAGTCGCCACTCAGGTCGACCAGTACACACAGAGAGAGAAAATAACGGCAAAGCTAAAACAATCAAAGGCTACAAAATGCTTTAATAAGTTCTACAAATATCCAAACACATCGAAAAACACAGATAAAGTAAACACATAAAAAGACCTATGAAGAACTGAGCAGATGTTTGGTTTCAGGGTGAGCGAGGCCCACCGGGTTTTGATGGCGATAAAGGAGAAAAGGGCGAGGACGGCCCTCCTGGAGTGAAGGTAATAAATCCTGGTGTCAGATTTTGAAATATGCAACAAGGAGGAATACTATCAGAGCATTGAAATGTGATTCACAACAGTGATATTATACCTGTTACAGTTAAGTCTCTGATAGACGATTATCAGCTTGCTTCATACTTTGATTTGGAATAAATGGGACTGCAACAATGGAAAGTGTTTAAATTGTGTTTGAAAGGGCCTAAAGGGTGATGCAGGCACTAAAGGGGCGCTGGGGCGTTTTGGAGCACGAGGACCAGGAGGGCAGAAGGTAATTAAAGGTTCATTGTTAATATTTCGGCACTGTAATAACCATTCAACACTTTTATGTTATAACTGTGTGTGAAATCGTTTCTTCTTTCCTTACAGGGAGATTCAGGAGAGCCAGGACTCAATGGAGTCATGGTAGAGCTACAATACAAATATACGCAAACAAACATTCTGTAATTGTAAAAGGAGTCAAAATTTAGTTTTAACTTCAGGGAATCACACACAGTAATGACCATGATGTTATTTAAGGGTCGCAATGGGGATCATGGAGTCGATGGGGCCAAAGGGGACAAAGGAGACATGGGACTGCGGGGACAGAAGGGCGATCAGGTACATTGAAATTCATACAAACAATCATGATTTTTATTTTTTAATCACTCAACATAGTTCCTTTTTTTATTTATTTCATTTTTCACAGGGTGATCCAGGAGAACCAGGCCTACCAGGAGACAAAGGGGAGAAGGGAGAGAAGGTGGAGGCTGTTACTATTTATCTATTCCCTATCTTAGCCCCTTATTGTTCTCTGTTTAGTTTCAGCTTCATTGTTATATTGTCATCTCTCTTACCTGCAGGGATTCAGAGGTCTGCCTGGTCGCACTGGGAGTCCAGGCCTGGATGGAGAAAAGGTTAGGCCGGAAGTAGCATCTGATTACACCAAAACCAGTTATATGTTATCTAACATTATGTATGGGTGTCTAGGTGAATTTTCGATTCTGAGTAGCTGCAGGGCGTCCATTAATTTGTGGTAATAGAAATACACTAAGTAGTTCCGGTGAAACTGTCTGTTCACTGCTCTAAATTAATACACTGTCTATTATCAGCTAGTATCTAAAATGAGCAACCATAGCAACAAGGACGCAGTCAAGGCCTCCGTCTACAATTATTGCAACACATGAACAGGCTAACATCTGAACACAACACTACAGTGCCTCATCCTCTGAGCACCACAGGCACTGACCCTCTGAACTTACTTAAACTTTGTATCGCATGAGCAATCATCTCACAGCCCATCGCTATTCAACCCACAACTTCAGGCTGCGGTCGACAGTAACATTATGTTACACATGGTGTTTTGTTTGTTCATGATAATCTTGTTAAACATACTGTTAAACAATATTTACTGTTTGTCAACTATACACAATGTCATGACCATGCATTCGATCGTGTGACTGCGTGCATGTGTGAGTATGTGTATATCTGATTGTTTCGCAGCTAATCTGGCAAACTACTGGACCAATCAGCCTCATGTTTTGTGTGCACGTGTATGACTGTATGGGCAAGGATCTCTTATGGTTGCAGGGATTCATAATTGTTAAAAAATCTGTTTTATTGGCTGTTTTATACCACCAGTGACTGTTGACATCTCACTCCTCCAAACCAGACAGTTGGAGCTGCTGGTTTCCTCAGTTCAGCTGAAAACAACAAACCCTACCGTCTGTCGCAGGCCACATTTTTTTTTGCCTCATAAACTGGTATCCATTGAAAAGTTTGGTCTCATTTTTAATCGCAGCATCTGTAGATTCCATACCTGATATGTTATGATCCACAAAAGTCAGGTACGCTACAAGACAAATAAATCCCCAGTATCTTCACTGCTATCTTGACTGTTAGGGTGTCGGGCCACCTGGCAGAGATTGGAGATCTGCACTCCACTGAGTTCACTTTTCAAATTGACTGAATCTTGCTTGCATCCCATTCCCAAGTCGTAAGGTTTGTCCTTTTTATTGGAGTCTTGAACAGCGTTTCCATCACATAAGAACTTCATGGGATGGTAATGATTTTTCCAAGTAGTCAAACTCTTAGGTGTTACCAGGGAAACTGAGTTATGGCTTGTGAAAAAATTTTGGTTGAAAAACAGATGATTTCTTTTCTTTGGCAAGTGACCATGGTATAAGCGAGGTAAGGCCCTTTGAGGTGTCCATAGTCAGGAATGAATGGCCTCCCTGCTCATTACTGTAATTCCTGATAAGGGACACTGTGTTGAGTATAATCTCTTACATGTATTTGAAGAAACCCTTTCAGTTACCAAGATAACTGTGGTATCTTCTCAAAACAGGGAGATATGGGGTTACATGGCACACCTGGCATACCTGGTCTGAATGGACTCACAGGGCGCAAGGTAAACATTCAAATGTGCAAATATTATTCTCTACCCCAAACATATACAAACTCTTCCCATCACATGATATAACTTCAGGGTGAAAAGGGACAAGGAGGCATCAATGGTGCTGATGGTTATCCGGGAGCCAAAGGAGACAAGGTTGGTATATTTGCATCAGTGTCACTGGTCATTATCCAGCCAGTTTAACAACTGATTTATGTGCTCATCACTGTTGTATATTGTTAAATAAACAGGAAAAAATATCAGCATATTATGTTTGTATCTTCCCCTGCACACAAAAGATGTGTTGGTGTGTCAATTTACTTCCTCTGGTTATTCTTGTTCAATGCAGGGTGCAGCAGGTTTCTCAGGTTTCCCAGGTTTCAAGGGGTCAGCAGGGAATCCAGGAAGGGATGGAGATGAGGGACTACCAGGACCTCCAGGACCGCGAGGGGACACAGGGCCCAAGGTACAGTATTCCTTAGTGTGTTTGAGAAATATGATACTGACTAATACATTTTACCATGCACTGATAATGCTTTATTGTGCTATTAAATTGAAAGAAAATTGAAAGCAAAATCTATTAACATTACAGATTAATTATCTCACTATATGAAGACATCAAGCTATTCTCTTGATCTTAACTTCACTACATCATTTTCTCACGATAACACATGAATAATAATTCAGCTGTTCTCCTTTAACAAGGGCTTACTTGAATGTTATCTCTCTAATGGGCAGGTCATCTCTGCTTGTGTCAGATCTTCATAACACTAAAAAATCTGCCAGGCCGAGTTGACATAGATAGCAACATCAGTCACATTTTAGAATGGCATACTTAAAGGCCTAGTGTGTAGGACTTAGTGGCATCTAGTGGTGAGGTTGCAAATCACAACCACCTGAAACTCCTCCACTGAGTCTAGTGTGTAGCAGAACTACGGTGGCCAATACATCGACACAGCTCTGTCTAGAGTCAGTGTTTGGTTGGACAGTTCTGGGCTCCTGTGGAAAAAACATGGCAGACTCCATGGAAGCGCTGTCATGGATCCCACTGCTTTTCTTTGCAAGTCCTGCCCTACTGAGTTTTGTTAGGCAAGTATTCATCACATCAGCGTGTCAAGGCTTGAGATGATAAGGGTAAGGGAAAGAGGTCATGGTTAGGGCAAGTACTAGCCAATCACAGCACAGTAGGATGGGACTTGCCAAGAAAAGCAATGGGATCCATTATAACGCACCCCTGGAAAAGCACCCTCTTTGTTTGGAGATCTAAGTGGCTCATTCTCAGGTAACAAAAACACAGCGATTCTTAGTTTCAGATCATCAAGCAGCAACCTCGGGGGCTGAAAATGCCTGACTTAAAGTAATAACATGATTACAGCATGTACAAAAAATTAGTTTTGGTCTCTATGGCTAATTTTACCCTTCATGACAACTTTACAGGAGGTACATTTTTATTTAACTTAGATGATATGCATATTTACGAGTGTGGCTGCTTTGAGTGACAGGTTGTGTGCAGGGCGTCACCACAGTCAGTGAGTCAGATCTAGGGATGTCACGATTATAGATTTTCTTGGTACGATTATTGTCAGAGAAATAATCACTTTAATTTTACAATTATCACGATTATTATGCATGAATTAATTTCACACTATAAATGTGTAAAATCACATGAACACTCCTTATAGATCTTTAAGTTTCATTTATTTCCATGTGCTCCTGCTTTTTCTTTTATCTCTCAACACAACAGTGATGGTTTTAAGTACGTGTGGCGACTATTTTGTTCATGTATGAAAATATAGTAGCTGTACAACCGGGCTCGGTAAAGTGTTTTTAAGTTGATGTAAAAATAAACGGCGAACATTTGTGAAATCCCGCACTCGTGTGGACGTGAGTTTCTGCCTGTCGTCTCACTCCAAAGAGCTACATGGACCCAAAACCATTACAACCTCACGCTGTGTGCACACAAACTGCAAAACTATCCATCAAAAAAGTTTTTGAGACGAGCCTTAGCTTGTCAAGTTGCACTGTAAGCCCAACTCGTATCATACCACTACGCCATTAATTGCAAATGACACGCTAACATATAATTTTTCAATTCAGTGTTACATTAGATAAATTGAGATTGACGTATTTTAACCCAGTCATTGTGCATTTACCTTTACTTGTGCATGTACAGCCGGGTGGTTGTCCCGCAGGTGTTGTATCATGTTGCTCTTGTTTGATCCTTTGGCTGCGACTTTTTTGCGGCATGTTTTACAAACTGGAAAGCCGTCATCAACAATGACCCCTTGGTCATTTTGCGATAGCCAAAATGATCTGACTTTATCCGTTTTTTGGGGGGGAATAAGTCTTCTTTATCCATACTTCATCACTCGGAGACGCCGCTTGTGTAACTTTGTTTTCGTTCCGAGTTGCGCTGACCTACTGTATATGGTTCCGCGTCGCGGCATAATCTTTGGAGAGTGACAGTGTTGAGGAATCTTTACGAATAATTAACTGTGGCGTTTAAAATCGCGGTTAATAGTGAAATAAAGTAATCGTGACATCCCTAGTCAGATCCATCTCTCTCATACAAATATGGTCACTTCTGGCTTTAACAACCAAGATGGTGACGGCCAAAATACCAAACTCTTGGGCTTTAAAACAGGAGTGTTCAAACCACTAGGTGACGTTGCAATAGCTACCATTATTTAATCTTTCTATGTCAGTCTATGGTGATTATACACAAATATAAACATAGTTATAAGTATTAAATTCCATTTCTGCCAATATATCCTCCTAAATCATACACACTGGTCTTTTAAGTCTTGATTTAATTTATGAAAACAATGTTTAATATGACAAAAAAGTAGTATAATTATTTCTTGGGATCTTACAGGTTGGGTTAAGAGATAAATACACATGATTAATTCATAATTAGTTTTCTTGAGAGACAGTAATTTAACAAGAACAGTGAGGTGCTGCTACACAATAGTACACTCCGAAAAATAATTAGCAACCATTTTTCACCGGCTGGTGCACACTAGAGGTGTAGTTAAAGGTATGAATCACTACCTTAATGAAGTATTTCCATTCAAAAACACACCTAATTACTAGTGCTGTAAACTGAATGGTTCTATCAGAGGCTACTACAAACATGTATGTACGGTAAATTATTTCTCCAGAGGTTATGATAGTGTATCAATAAATTATATGAAGTATCAGAGTCTGCTTTCAGGATGCACTAAATCTGATTGGATGCCAGTTCAGTGCCCTCATATTAACTTCCTGTTCACATCTGTGAGAACAAATCTATTACAGTACTGTAGTGTCCACAAGAGTAAAGGCTGTTTAATAATTACTCCTTCTGTGAGGCAGAGCAGGCACTTGTACACACACACACACACACACACACACACACATGCAGATATCTGTCGGTCTTTAAAAAAACACATTATGTAAAAAAAAGTTATAAGAGAAGACGAACAATGTGACAGAACACAATGAACAGGAGGATGAGCTGAGCTTGATTACAGTCATCACCATGTCTGCGTCCTGTTCAGAGAGACTGGCAGCACGCGCTCTGTGTACTGCAGCAGACATGTCCGTAATTAAAACACACACACACACACACACACACACACACACACAAATGTCTATTTCTGTCTGCAGCTTTCAAGTAATATCTTACTCAATTAGCTCCTTTCAGCTACAATTACCAGACTTACAGTGTTGACAGAGAAAGGCTGGAAACCTCTAATGAGGATATTCCAAGGATGTACCTAATTGACCTGTCTTTCATACTGCTCAGAAGTGAGTGTGCTGCCCTGTTTTTTTTCTTGTTAGCTCAGAGGTTTTGTTTGAAAGAAGTTGAAAACTCACAATGTGTTTTCTTTACAGAAAGGGCCGTGCTTGCAATAACTTTTTTAATGTTATCTCGAGATCATGAATTAATTAGCCCTTCCTAAGTCACGCCCCTTTTCCTTTTGTGCTCCATGCAACATGCTACAACCTCAGCTTTCCCCTTTCCTGTTGTTCTTTGATATGCTATGTGCTGCGCTTGTCTGTTGAAAAGAAAATCAAATTTCCAAGATGGTTAAAAGATGTGGCTGGGAGACTTTCATAATTTTTAAGGACACATATATAGACACATCTTGTGTAAGCTACTGTTAAAAAATCCCGAGCTAACTAGCTAGTTAATGCCACAAGAGGTGTTAGCCAGATGTCAAATCAACAGCTGCAGCGAGGTTTGCTTGCTCAAAGATGTTAATAAGGACACATAGGTTGGTTGATGACATATTTCTAAGATGACATAAATTATCGTTTGCCAGAAAAGATCACAGCTAACATGCTGCCCCCAAAGTAACTAGCATACCTTTCTACAGTAAAGAGAGACTAATGCTAGGTCAGCACCATGGTCTGTAATCAGTAATAAATGCATAGAATTCTTTACAGGTCTCCTGTAAATATATATATCCCTCAATGTCATGCTGTGTGTTTCTTAAATCTTTATTGCCTGACTCCCAGAAACTTATCTTCTTATAGGGATCTTATAATCTCATAGGGCTGGGTGATATGTCCTAAAAATTATATCACGATATTGTTAGGCTAAATTTTGATACACAATATATATGTCGATATTTTAAATCTCTTCAAAAGCATTTCATTAATGCTAGGAACATAACAATATTTCTGACCAAAAACCATCTGTGATGTGAAAAAAGTTGTATGGATGACTATTGTTTTGTTTTTGTTATTTCCAGAAAATATTAACACAATTATGACTAAGTGGCTTGAGGATAGCGTTAGAACAAACAAACAGTTTGGTAATTTGGTAAATTTACATCACCTTACTGTAATGCTACCTTGAAAACAAGGGAAAAAATACCATTTATACTGTATCACGATATCCAACGATATGTGCTGCACGTCTGTTGAAAATATCCAAAATCTAAGATGACATATAACCTTTTGTCTCGCGAAGGTGAGATGTTGTGTTGGCATTTTAGTGAGGAGACCTTTGCCTTGGCAAGATTTATAGAAAATGCTTGGTGCTTAAGACAGAGATCGTTGTACCCAACATAATAAGATGTTTCTGTTATGGAATTTGGCTGTTCTGAAATGTTTGCTTTTCCTTCTGTGGACTTTTTGTTATTGATCTGTCATGTGGCCATCCAGGTTGTTGTTCTGTTTAGTGTCTTGTAAGCCCATATGGGCTGGGCACCACTTGGTGCACGACACTTAAATAAATAAAATCAATCAATCAATCTCGATAACAGCGTAATATCTTCATATTGCCCAGCCCTACTATCTAATAAACACTGTGGCACCCAGCTAAGCGCATCTGGTGTCACCATGTTTCTGTTTGTCAAGCTTTATTTTTGTATCTTGAAAAGACGAGCTTTGATATCTTGAGATATAATGTAATAATCAGCCTGTTGTCACGAGAGCAAAAAGCTGTTACCATTTATTACTTAAAATGTTTAGAGAGATGGGAGTTGTTTAATTGTACATCTCTGGCTACCATAAAAGAAACTTGTCTGTTCCGATTATTTAACTGCAGCAAACTACTGATGTATGCCTTGACAGCTATTCATTACGAATCCTCCCAGTCATGACAGTGGTCTTAAAGGCTGAAATCAGATGTGGTCAAATGAACCAAATGCTCTTTTTCAAGTTTTCCATAACTATCCTGTGATCTTAGGAAAACAAAAGTTGTTTTCTCGTGATAAATTATCTTGAGAAATTGGCCTTTTGTTTTCATGAGAATCGACTTAAATTAACCCACTGTTACCAGAAAATGAAATGATTCATCTGATCTCAAAATAACAGCTTTAATTTTGATAATTCTCTGTGTGCACTTTGGTTTTTGTCAAACAGGGGGGCAGGGGCAGACGGGGCAGATCAAAGCCATGTCAGAAGGGAGAACCCGGGACTCCAGGACTCAGAGGAGAGAGTGTGAGTCATACATGAACACAAACACTTTAAATGAACTTACAGTGGAGAGAGACAAACCTTGACCCTCTTCTAGCTAGCTTCTGTAGCTTAGTGGTTTTTCTTCTTTTTTTATTGCAATAGATAGTAAAATTTGAGCACCTTATCATTTAACAAAGGTGAAACAATGCTGAAGATAAAACAACAATGAGCTCCCATGAGGCTTTAAAAGCATGCCAGTTGGTGAGACTCGTAGGATACCATTGTTGTCCTTTGTTTTTGCTACAATATATTTATTGTTTAGTGTGTTCAATGACATGTTAAACCAGATATAAACCATTTAAAAAAGTGTTTTTTGCACTTGTTGACACTTTGTTGACACTCGCTGAGTGGGAGATGTTGTAGGCATCAGAAATTCCCTTTAAATACTGTTTTTTAACTTTTAATAAAACTAGAACTCTGGTGAAAATGTTTCCTAATTTAGCTCTTTGTATCATTGCTACAATATGACATGAACGTGGTATTAATCTTTCGTGTAGGTCTGATGGCTGGCTAGGGAAGGGAGTGAGACTTTAATTCTTCATTACAGTTTCCTTCAAATTAAAAATACTTATAGCTTCATACAATAAAATTAATCTCCTGTATTTGCAAATGTGTTTTTCCTGTAGGGTACACTGGGTTTTGAAGGAGGAAAAGGGGAGAAGGGGGAGCCTGGACTCTCGGTATGTGTTTATCACAATCACACACACACACACACACACACACATTTAATGTGAGTATGAATTAGGGAGATTCAATGGCATCTAGCGGTAAGGTGTGCAGATTGCAACCAGCTGGTTAGGATTCCTTCAGTGTTAATTCAGTGCCGAATTATCCGCAGAGGTCTCTTCTTTTTCGAAACAAACAAACCAGGTGATTTAAACCAGTAAAAACACTGAATAAAGCAGTTTCATGTTAAAAAAAAATCAGTGTTTTTCTGATGCTCTGGTCATTGGAAAATTGACCTATGGGCCTATGTCAAGGCAGTGTTTGGTTTGTCTATTCTGGGCTACTGTAGAAACATGGCAGAGCAACATGGCGGACTCCATAGACAAGGACCTGCTCCCTATGTAGATATAAACATCTCATTCTAAGGTTACGAAAACACATTGATTATAAATTTTAGGTGATTATCCACTGAAAAAAACATACTTATTATATTATATTCCATTTCTGCCAATATATCCCCCTAACTCCTGCACTGAACCTTAAAATATATACTTTAAATATGTACTGTGTGTACATAACAGCTACTAAACTGAATGGACTTACTCTGAATCTGGTCCCTCTCTGTGTCAAGGCTGAAGAAGTGAAGGAGCTGGTCACCCAGGAGGTGGTAGAAAAGTGTGGTAAGTGTGTGTGCGTGTGTGTGTTCACTTGTGTCTCTAGATAGGCCTACATATTGTGTGTGTGTGTGTGTGGGTGTGTGTGTTTGTGTGGTTGTTTGTTGTAGAGCTCCTGTGGCATCAGCATGGCACCCGTGTGTGTTTTGCCATCTGTTATGTTCTCTTAGAGGAACACACACCATGGTGCCAGCAACAGTAGAGACCATTCACAAACACGAGACCGCCATTAAAGGGAAATTTCGGTTTATTTCAACCTGTCTCCTATCGTCCTAAATTTGTTCACGGCACCACACCGGTAAGGTAAGACAACACGTTTACATGTCGTTTTCTATATGTTCTCTGACATTTATCCTAACAATGTGAGGCCGTCTTTGTGGAAAAAAAAGCTTGTTTAGTGGACTAACTTGAACTGAACTTGAAGGTTGTCCGTTCCCTTACGTTTAAACAGGTCCGACGCTACTATGCGCCCCGGCTGTATCTAGGCTAACGGCTAACATGCCAACTATTATTTTTATGTCACTAGTCACTTGAAACAAATTTAGGACGATAGGAGACAGGTTGAAATAAACCAAAATTTCCCTTTAAGTGGGACGCCTCGCTAAGAATCTGCTACACACTTACAACACAGTTAAAGGGCTGTTCAGCGTATTGACAACCTTTCTGCTGAAGACATTTTGACATTACAGCCCAAAATATCAGAGTATGAATGGCTACTTAGTGTTAGTTATTAAAACCAGGTGTCTAATGCCAAAATATATTTGGTGAAAGTGTGTGTTTTAATCACTTTTTGGGCTTCACTGCTGTTTTTGTTCATTAAGCCCTGGAGCGTCCAGCAAACTGCAAGTCACAGTCAGTAGCGGAAGAAGTACTCAGATCTTTTATTTAAGTAAAAATAGCAAAAATACTCTGTTAGAAGAAGGAGTAATGCATTCACAACTTGACTTAAGTAAAGGTATGAAAGTATTTGCATCAAAATATAGTTAGAGTACAAAAAGTAAAAGTACTCATTGTGCAGAATCACCCATTTCAGAATCATTGTACTAATAGGAATGCACTGATTTATCGGCTCAACATTAGCAACAGCCGATCTTCTTGTGGTTGACTGCCATCGGCCTATTGGCAAATAAGATTCACCAATGGCAGTGGCCGATGTTTTTCCGTTGTGTCACGTCAATTTTGCACATGCTTCAAAGCAGGGCTCGAGACTATGAGCTGCAAACTTAAAGTAATGAGCACATACAAGAAGAACACATTGACTGTTTGGCAGATGAGCTCTATGATCTTATTGTTGTGACAAGATGGCTGGTGAGGTTGGGAATCACCAGAGGATCCACGATATGATATTATCACAATACCTAATTGCGATAAAATATATTGGGATATATTACCTTTTTTCAACTGGAAATTATGTCCCCAAAGAAAAACTTTGTCCACATCTGTTTTATATATATTTTTTTTATCTTTATTTAGTAAAGTTTTCATTCTGTTCATCTCACTTTAGCCATTTTTGTTGCTGCAAAATGTATCTAGTGGACTGAAAAAATCAAAAGCTGATTTGTATTTGTCATATTAATAATTTATATAATAAATAAATTGATAGTTTGCACTGTATGGTGATACGATATTGCCACACAAGTATATCGCGATACTATGCTGTATTAATTTTTTCACCCACCCCCTAATGTTTGGTAGCAGCCCTTCGTCTCTTTGTCCCAGGGAGAACAGAAAACGTGTTCGGACAAAAGAGATCTCCCTCAGGATGCCTTTGGGTTGAAATGACAACCTAAACTCACTGTTGTCACTGCAGAGGATGCACGCTGTTGTTTCCCCAATAATGCCACATTATTAACAACGAGTCCATGTTAAAATCACCAGAGGGAGAGGTAGTTAACGTTGCTCCAAACAGCTGTCAGTCTCAACTAAATTCTCATGGAGGTTGCATTGAGTTGCATTATGATGCGTTCAAGCTCTATTCAGTAAAAATGACAATTGGGTGAATAAATTAGGACATTCTCATGATGTGTTCAATGTATTCTTGTAAGATGTAGTTTTTGGCGAGAAATTTGAACAAAAAGTTGTTTCATGGAGAAATTTGTTGACATTTTCACAGCAATATGAAATAGATATATATAATAAAAAAGTTTTGAAGTAACTATTTAAAGAAAAAGGGATGTTTTTCACGTGAAAGGTTGTATTAGAGTTTGTTTCATGAAATTGTTTGATTAAATTTGTGCTCATTAAATGGTAGTTTGATGCAGGTCCAGTTGTTTTATTGTGCAGATTTCTTTTTTTCTCTGGCACAAAGGGGGGAATATACAACAATAAAAGCAAAATAAAGAACAATGTAAAAACATTGGTATCGGCCCAGAATTTCAAATTCGGTGCATCCATCATTACGAGATTATACATTTTTATACATTACTATGTACATCACTGAAATGTTGCAGCTGGTAAAGGTACACTTTATACTGCCAGGGAACCTTAATATACAATAATACATTGTAATTATTTTTTTGATTATATTTTGTATCAATAAATCTGCAAAGTAAAAAGTGACTAATGTTGTCAACTAAATGCAGTGAAGTAAAAACTACAATAATTGCCTCCAAAATTGTATTAGAAGTACTTTAAAATCATACTCAAGTACAGTACTTGAGTAAATGTACTTAGTAACATTCCACCACTGGTTACAGAGAAGTGAAAAAATAAAATATCAGTGGTCTGGGTGGCATAAACGAAGAGACTAAAACCATAAATTAGAACAGTTTCTGTGGAATGACTGATTATTTTTATTTTTTATTTTTTTAAGTGATGTGTGTATCATGTTTGTATCATTACAGGTTTGGAATACAAGTTCATCGTAAAGTCTGTGGATCCAGATGGAACGACCGCAGTGACTGATAAATATAAAAATAAGGCAGGCGATGTAGAGATATCCTTGAACCGTGACCTCCATAAAGAAAGGATGGAGGAAGAAGGTGAAGAAGTTGAAGACTATGGAGACAAACTGGGAGAAACGACTAGTCCTGTGATCCTACCAAACCGCACTGGTAATAACAATTATTTCAACATAACACATTTACACAAGTAACAGTTTGCAGGGTCCAAGCCCATCGGCCAAACACACAGATGTCATCATTTTAGAAAGTGCTCAGTGTCCCCGCAACAGATTTATAGAGTGTGTGTCAAAGCTAAATGGTTAAATATGTCATGCTTATGCGTAACAGCTGTGATGTGGGCAGTTCTTCTAGTGTGTGAATGGAGATTGTGGGGACTTTGTAACAGGAATAACGTGCTCTGAGGTGTTCGAAGGAGGAAAATATGGGACACTATTGTCACAGATGTATTCACTTACATCTCATCTACACATTAGAGTGTGTTTAAAGGTCTCTTTGTAGTTAGTTTGACTCTTGTTGAAGTTGGATTCAGTTTCTACACTGTTAACTAGCAAAGGAAGGAAAAATGATGCAACATAAAAGCACTCAGCTCCCACAGTTGCTGTAACCAAAGCCATCAACGAATACGAAAAAAACAAGCAGAAAGTTAAACACAGGGTCAACATGAACCAAGTAATCACAATATTTCATGAAGCTCATTAGCACATGCCCCGAGGCAAGAGAAGCTCTCTGCGACCCAATTTGTTTTAATTCTTGCTGCAGGTAAACATAACCATAAAACTAATCAAAGACTGAGCTTGTCATTGCCCATTGTCAAAGTCAGCATGTTTATTCATAAATTACAATCAGAGGATGTAAAACAGTGGCATTTAGCTCATCATGTGTTCAAAATAATGGGTGTGCATATTAAGCACAGCGGGCCACATATTCACTATAAAGGTATTAAATAAAAATTGCCTCATGTACCAGCCTCTGTATTGCATCTAGCCACCTGTTGTTACAAGAGCTCTGTCGTATTAAAGTGGAGACAGACACATTTTCAACTCCAACCCCCCCAACTTGAACATTTTCAAGTGGTATCTTTCATCCCAGAATAAATTTTGACATTCAGTTGTAGCAAAAAGGTTAGATATGTTGAAATGTTACGTTTCTTGATGTTTCAGTTTTCAGTTTTATGGTGTGAAAACGCTGTGGTGAGTCTGTGATTAGGTATCAGCACAAAAACACTCAGTTATGGTTCAGAAAAGATCATGTTTTGGGTTGAAATACCTGGTTTGATGGCTACACACAGTTTGGCGCAATACACTCTCACTCCGACCTCGTCACATATCAGCGTTTGGTCATGGACTTTCCATGTCCAGATACAACGTGTAAGGTACTGTGGGTACTGTGCGTTGGTTGATGACGTTCTGGGACACCGTGTCAAGTTCTGCCTGTTACATACATTGTCTTCTTTCAGGATACACTTCCGTTTTCACAGGAAATTTCCGTTTACATACAGTCTCTTTCAAAATAAAAGCACTACATCAGTACTACACCGCAAATTGACATTTTGTTTTTACCTCCAACAACAAACGCACGTGGTTAGGTTTCGGAAAAAAGAACAGGGTTTGGCTTTAGAATCTTACGGGATGGGAACACCGCTCTCCTGGGTGTTTGTCGGACCCATTTGCCAACTCTCCCACCCACCCTACTCGGACTTTTGCCACCTTAACTTTCGTTCTTGTCCCGGCTGCATGTCCCCCTGACACCCATTAGTGCCATTAAACCAGTGGCGGCTGCTGGTCTTTCAAACAGGGGAAGTTTACATAATAAAATTTGTCATATTGTAGCGAGGCAGTAACTTATAAAAGGAACATGAACCACAGCAAAACACACCTCAAAGATTTTCAGATGGGTTTGAAAATGAGCTCTATCACTTGGATTGTTTGCATATTCCTGTGTTAGTTGTTTAATTTTTTCCTCAATGTTTTTTTCTGCTTGCAATTCCTGTTTCTTCTTGTAGGAGGAGAAAGATATAATTTTTCCTCTGATTACTGCCTTCCCAGCCTCCCATATTAAAGATGGAGATAAATTTGGAGAGTCATTATCTTCAAGAAAGTTTGCCCACTCCCGTCTCACCATTTTGTCAAAGTCTGAGTCTTTAAGTAAAGAGATATTAAAGCGTCATGTTGGGGACCGTTTATGGATGGTTTCTATTTGCAGATTGAGTGATATTGGTGCATGGTCGCTGATAATGATCGGGTCTATTTCTGTGGTAATTTTTTGTGAGATGGAGTTATTTAAAGGGACATTGTGTAATATTTTCAGTTGTCTATTGGCAAAAATTGATGTCTGCATTCATAAATATGTCATCACTGGTGTACTGTTACCTCCACCAATAATCTGACTTATTCTTGTAAAAGGAGGATTTCAGATTTGTTTGTACATTGTGCGGGTAAGTCGTCTGTGGGGTTCCATTACGTTTCGCCATCTTGAGAATACACCTACCAGCAAGGGACATACAGCACCGCCTTCGGTGAGAGCCAGGCCAGCACTGCGTGACTGAGGAGCCGAAGGAGAGGAGCAAGAGGAGCTTCGCTACTACCCTGGCAAATTTGAAACAAAGTCCCACTCTTTGAGCATAATGCAGGATCATGTATATGCAGCATCATGGGAGACGGAATCCTTGTCGCCAAGAAAGCGCAAAAGGGAATAGAAAAGGCAGCGTGACCGGCGAATTTAAAAAAACGAAGGCCCACATCGGGGTAGCCTTTCCCAGGTAGAGAGAGCTGCTGAGGGAGAATGGTAATGCAATCACAGGCCAGCGCCGCTGTTGGCTGTTAGCCGCTGTTAGCGGCCAGTCACTAACAGCCTCATCCCTCTCCTCGCATCACTGCGCCGCTGTTAGCAGTTAGCCGCTGTTAGCCCTGGCCTGTGACTGTATTACCTTTCTCCTTCAGCAGCTCTCTCCACCTGGGAAAGGCAACCCCAATGCTGACCCTTGTTTTTTTAATTCGCCGGTCACGCTGCCTTTTTGATTCCCTTTTGCACTTTCTTGGCGACGAGGATTCCGTCTCCCGTGATGCTGCATAATACATGATCCTGCATTATGCTCAAAGAGTGGGACTTTGTTATGCGGCAGCAGTGCCGCTGGCCACTAACCGCTGTTAGCGGCGCAGTAATGCGAGGAGAGGGATGAGGTGTGTGAGGTTGAGCCACTTGTCAGTTGTCAAAGGACAAGACGTGATTGGTTTGTTTCAATTTACATCCGCCCCAACAGTCCTACGTTGTAAACACAGCCGGCATGGTGAGGAGGGGGTTTGTCAACTCGCGTCGCGTGTGTCTGTGTAGGAGCCTGAATGAATACTCCATGTAGTATCGGATGACATGGTTTCATCAGTGTTATCATAGCTTTTTGGTACACAGCGGCTACAGTTGTTGCAATACGTGTTTGAAACAGTGAGGCGCTAGAGTGCACCATCTGTTTGAATACAATATATGATTTCAACCTTAGATGGGAGAAATTCCTACACACTGTGGCTTTAAGAGAAAAAAGTCAATTCTTGAAAATGAGCGATGCACAGGAGAGAAGAAAGTATATTCCCTCTTCGATGGGTAGAAAAATATCTGTTTTCAATTTTGTGACAAAGTCCATCTCCATAAGCCATTTCTCCATTTCCATAAGCTCTATCACTTATGGAAATAAGGAACTCCGGACGGCACTCTGTGAGAAGACTCCACTCACAAATATCCGCATGGGACTGAGCTTGAAATGCAACGATGCCAGTGTGTATTTCCAAAGCGCTGTCAATCACAAAGGGGTTCAGCCTTTTAGACAATTCCTCCAATCATCATGCATACACCAAGCGTCCTCTCCCGCCTACGGCTCCATTAGGTCCCAGGGAAGCTGAGCCTCCCTGGAAGTGACGATGTTGTCGCATTTATCCAGTGACCGTCTCGCTTTGCTGCATGAAAAAAACCTGCTCAGCGCTGTCTCATAGGAATGCTTGGAGGCTCCGCGTCCACCGTGCTGACACGAGAATGTATGACAGGGAGGTCGCGATTGATAACTGGTTATAAACAGCTGACGTTTGAACATCATAGTCGTGATATGAAACGCATACTAGCGCACGTTTAATGCAATGTAAATTGTTATTTTAATGTAAATTCAATCGTGCATATTTGACCATTTCTTCTATGAAATTTTAGGAGAATTTCAGCCTCCCTTGTTGTCTCAAAGCAATCGCCACTGCATTAAACTATGCCAACGTTAAAGGACAGCTTTTTCGTCAGCGTCTGATGCCACAAGTCACTGCCCAAGTGCCACATTTCAAAGACTTTGCAGTGTGACCAGGTTGTTCTGTGATGTCGTTTTAAGAAACACCTGGTTGCTGTCACCACAAACACAGCTGGAAATGTGGCAACGTCGTCTTAAAAAAATACTCCACTGTTGTCACCACAACCACCACTGGAAATATCTGACATAGCCTTAAAAAGTATCCGATTGTTGTTGCCACAGCTACTGCTAGTTATGTGCCATTGTTTCCTTTAAAAGTTTCAGGTTGTTGTCGCCACAACTACCGCTGGAATGTGCCAACATTGCCTTTAAAAATACCTGGTTGTTCCTGCCATAACCACAGCTGGATAAATGCCACTATCACCTTACTGTTGTCGCCACAACCACAGCTGGAAGTTTGCCGACATCACCTTAAAAAATATCCAATTGTTGTTTCCATAGCCATTGCTAGATATGTGCCAGTACAGCCCTAAAAGATATCTGTTTTTTGTAGCCACAGCCAGTGCTAGAAATGTGCACGCTGCATTTCGTTTTCTACAGTTACTTTGGTTGTTCGACAGTCCTAACTAACGTCATCATTGGAATAGCACAGAATAAACAAACACCGCTCCTAGGCAGTGGACTTGGACATAATACATTCACCTGTGTGAGGGCAGTTGGGTGCAGAGGTACAGCACTTTGTGAAATTACATGTTACCCGACTCAAAGGTATTTCTTTCATCAGTAAAGTGTGAGTTACACACATAATATATAGTTATCAAACTCATCAGGCATTAGTTCAGGCCTCTCTCCGAGGTCATTGATTGTTATCAGCTGATTCATCTACGCTTCACAATCACTGGCTCATTTTCCAGCTGTGTGGCCGACTGTCAGCTGATACTCTCACGTCATTGCCATTTGCTGCCGCAGCTTCGTTATTTCACCTCTCTTTATTTGCTATGAATGGACAATTCCTTGACGCAAGTGTCTCTGACTAAACTGAGTGTTGCTCATTTTCTGAATATTAGTGATGTTGTTGGATCAGATCAGATGAGAAGAGATTAATGCAGTAAACACTGTAAAACAAAGAAGTAGAAACTGTGCCTGCAGCTATCTGATCATTTGTTTTATCCAGCTCTTTCAGTGTGTTTATTGTGTTTTGTTTTTTTTTTGGTTTCCTATCTTATCCCTGATTTTAACGTTAGCAGGATGCGACGTGTGAGCTGTAATTTCTTTTAACTATGTTTGTGGGGTTGCAGCAAACAGAAAGTTTGCACAAAGAGATGAAACAGACTAACAATGAACGCTCCAACTACTTGAGAGAAATGCTGATTACTCTCAGTTGGATTTAAGATGAGTGGCAACTAGCATTCATTCAATGTCGGTTCAGTCAAAGTGGTTCCCTCTTGATGATCGAGTCCACCAACTTGTAAAACGTGTCATTGATGTTGTTTTGGGCCTTCAGATTCTGTGGAGGGAGGGACAGCGGAGTGGGGACGGAGGAAGAAAAGAAGGGTATTTGGAACAAGCACTGCTGGTGAGTCGCCAAGACAACTGATTTTCGTCTTATCTTCCCCCTCTTCTTCATCTTGTTTACTTGCTCTGTGTGTCACTGTCGTTTTTCTGTCTGTTTCCCTTCACATTTTCATAATCTATGAGTAATGAGTTGCTTGGAATTGTTAGGTGGGAGAAAATGATAAGAGCAAAACTTAATCCATGACTGTTTGACAGCCTGTGCTAGATTTAATGACGCACTTCATGAGTAAAAATAGGAGAGGGAATATCTGAAATGTAATGAAGAACATGGTTCTGTCAATAATATGATAGCATCAGTTAATGGTTACTCACTCATATTAAAGGTATACTATGCAGGATTGTTAGTTACATGCTGGCCAGCAAAAGTGAAAGTAAAAGCCAATCCCAAATTCCCTCGTTTGTCATTCCCTCTCGCTTTATTTGCATTTTTATGGTGCTGTGTCTTTAACCAGTGCTGCTTATGGTCTCACTACCTTTTTATAAAGCCCCCGCTGTGGGGGTACACACCCATAAAATGTCTCAAACACACAAAATAAGGAGAAAATATAGGTAGGGGGCAGAGCCTCTGCAGAAAAATACACTGTCACGAACTTCTAATAGGTCATAGATGATGACTGAGAGGGATTACTTCTGTATGAGTCAATACATTGACATGTATTTTGCAAGTTCACTTGTTTGCTATCCCCTTGAGAGTCACACAAGACGACCAATATCAGTTTAATCTCCTCATCTCAATTCAGAGATGCTAGAGACGATGTGTGTTAAAGGTCCAACATGACAGATTTAGTGGCATCTAGCTGTGAGGTTGCAGATTGTAGCCAACTGAAACTTCTCCCTTGTACCAAATGCAAATGGCCCTATCTAGAGCCAGTGTTTGGTTTGTCCGTTCTGGGCTATTGTAGAAACAGCATGGTGAACTCCATGGTAGAGGACCCACTCCCTGTGTAGATATAAACGGCTCATTCTAAGGTAATGAAAACCCAACAATTCTGATTTTCAGGTGATTAGAAATGAATGAAAACATACTATACAGTATATCCCATTCCTGGGGAGAGGGGGTAGCAACACAACTCCACCTAATGGAGGCTTACGGCGCCCCAGATTCAAACGTCCAAAACACATAAATGAAACTACAAAATATCTCCATACTGCTCGTCCGTAGTGATCCAAGTGTCCTGAAGCCCCGACATAAAAAGTTGTTTGGAAAAACATCATTTGAACTCTGTTTTTAGCCTCATTGTAGCCTGTAGCTCTAACTGCCTCTCTGTTAGGGCTGTCAAAATTGCTCAAAAATGACGTTCGAATATTCCTTCTAAAAATAACTCATAGGTTCGAACCATTCAAATTTTTATTTTTTTTTTTGCATTATGTCCACAAGAGGGCAAACTAATACAAGGAAACATACTTCTATATGTATTAATACAAGGAAACATAACTACTTGTAGGTATTTTTATTTCAACATAAATGTCTTTGAAAACATTTACATACCTACACATTAAAACACATAAAACAATTATCTATAACATTAAGTTATAAATGACCGCTGACCTCTCGCTCGCCCCCCCTCTCTGACCCGTCAGGCTACGAATAGCCTCGAAGCGCCGAGAAGCGAAGCCAGTTTCCTTTCGGTGCCCATGTTAAGCAATTGTGTCATCCACACCGGTTGCGCCGCGCCGCGCAGCTCAGTGGCCGCTCCCACCTCCCAGTCACAAAGAGGACAGCTGCGGTGGTGTTTTTTTTTCCCCTCCACAATCGAATATCAATTTTCACATTCGAAGGTCCTTTTTTTTTTTCAAATTCAAATTTAAATTCGAATTTAGAATATTCGTTGACAGCCCTACTCTCTGTACACCGTGGTCATGTGTGTGCGCTTGTGCGAGACCGTGAGACATGGGCACCGCCTTCATGTGTGTTCACTTGCTTTCACTAGTCTCGCGCGCAAGGGATGTGAGGACCTCACCCACACACTGTGCCAAAGAAAAAAAAAGCAGGCAGGGGGCCTCGAAACATTATTTTAGACTAAAAAACTTGCATAGTGTACCTTTAACTTTAACTAAAAACTTTGATACGTTTTGCGAAATAAATCAGTACATCCAAAAGAAATCAGAAATCCCTTTCACACAAACACTTGTCTCAATGGTACTGCAGGTTTTTATGTAGTAATTAGTAAAATCTTGTCAGCCAATATCCTCCCTCTTAATCATACTGTAGCTGCACCAGGCATTTTGCACACTAGTGGCCCCAAGTGGTCTCTGCTTATTTAATTTCCAGAGTGTGAAAGACTTCATCATGCAGGAATAATGCAGGTTGAAGTCCCACTCCTCAAACATGCTGAAACATTCCCGTTATTGTTGCTGCGCATCTAACAGTGACTCTACAGCATGTCCATTTGTAGGTTGTAACCCTTTTTATTTCTCATGTCACAGCAGACCGCTGCCTGGAGCCGATGTCAGAGGGGTTCTGCTCAGAATACGTCCTGCTCTGGTACTTCCACCCTCGCTCTGGGGAGTGCAGGCCATTTGTGTACAGCGGTTGTGGTGGCAACAGAAACCGGTTCTCCTCGAGACAGGAGTGCCAGAGCTGGTGTGGGATGGAGAGGAGTGGTAGGAGGAGGCATCTAGATCATAGATGAAACTGTAACAGCAAATCTGATAAGTAAGAAATTCATCTTTTGGAAATGGTTGTAGAGTATGAATTGGAAGATCCTCTATCTATCATACTAATAAAAATGTATTTACACTCCCACAGGTGCCTCATCCTGGAGAGAAACTAGCAACCACAAACGAGAAAATAATTTCTGTACATAACTTTGTAAAATGGATTTATTTATATATTTTAGCAGCTGTTTCTTAATTTGTTTTATGGACAAAATGTTGAAAATCAGAATGTGAATGTTAAAAATGTTTTGTAATTTTTATAGAGATGTTATTAGAGATTTTAAATGTCGAAGAGATTTTAAATGTCAAAAGTGATCAGTATTCACACTACTGAAAATTAAATCTGTCTTTTCTGTTATGTCTTTGTTGTGCTCATCTCTTCTCTCTCCATCTCCAGAGTCTCTTTGCGTAACGCTCAGTCACCTCTCATATGTTTTGTCAATCGCACTGCATCCTGTGCGGTGAGAAAAATAAGACGCCGGTAGCTGATTGCCTGCTGCCACCTCCGCTGCTGCATATGTTCCTTTGGCAGGGGGTGTTATGGGTCAGGCTGGGAGCCAGATGAGGGCCAACAGGGGAGATCAGGCAGAGACTGTTTCAGAGGACTCTCCATCAGACCCACACAGTGGTAGCAGGGGATTCCTGCGTGGGTGTTGATGTGGGGGTTAGCACGCATTCAGGGTTTTTTTTCTGGCAGTGTGATGCGTGAAAATGCACGACACAACTTTGATTCTCAGTGTGTCTGTGGATGATGTTTTTTAACAGGATGCTTGTCGTCAGTGCAACGTGCTGCACCAGCTCCACCACCAGGTTTCTTAAACTAAAGGTTGCTCACTGAAAATAGTCTGACAATATTTAAAGCAGAAAATTCATTCGCTTCAAAGTGACGGATGAGTCTCTCACCAACGAGGCTTCAGAGGCTTTCTCTACATTAGTCACGATTCTGCTCTGTAACGTACTCCCACATGTGAAGATGCTTCATAGAGCTGAAAGACAAAGTTAACGCAGTCCACAGTGACAGGCTGTTCTCGCTGAACCACACCCCCTGCCAGCGACAACTAGTCAAGACCTAAGACAGATGCCACACTGCAGAAAAAGCAATTTAAAGGTACAGTTCATGCCACAATCAAAAGTACATATGTTTTCTCTTCGCTGTAGTGCTGTTCATCAGTCTAGATTGTTTTGGTGTGAGTCATCATGTGTTGGAGATATCGTCTGTAGAGATGTCTGCCTTCTCTCCAACATAATGGAACTAGATGGCACTCGGCTTGTGGTGCTCAAAGCTCCATAAAATACATTTGTGTCTTTCCAGATATCATGACCTGGTAACTCAAGATAATCCACAGAACTTTACTGCTGCTCTCTCAGTTTGGATGAGCAAAGGAGAAGTTGATAATGCGGTGTCTAAAGCATTACTGTGACGCCCTAGGTCAGATGGCTAGTTAGGGGCCCAGGGTCAAGAAAATACATATGGTCAGGGTCAAGAGGGTATTTATGGCCCAGGTCAAGGATTGGTGAAGTCCAACTAGGATGTCTCTCTGTCGTCTGTTTATCTTTGTCTCACATTTCACAAAAACAACCAAGCTATATAAGCAGGGTAGTTGGGGCTGTTATTCAGAGCAGTTCATATTGGCTTCGAACCCTCTCTCAGGCATCCTAGGAGCTTGATTTGATGCTGTACTTCTTGTAATAAACCTTTCTATATACAAGCAAGACGGTGTCAGCGGAGTCTCCTTCATCACCTTCACATCATCGTTATTTAATAAACAACAATAACTCTAAATGTTTTTTCAAAGACTAAGCCAAAAAGTCGCCATTGAAGTGTTGCATCACCACGGGCTTGTGTGTCTGCTACCTCCTACAAAGCACCTCAACTGAACGTCATCTAAAGCAGGGGTTCCCAACTGGTCCAGCCACGGGGTCCAGATTTCTCCGTAGTCATTAGTTCAAGGTCCACACAGTTCAATATATTCAGCGACAATGGTCGACAATGAAACAGTCTTTCGGCAGGATTCGATGACATAGCTTCCTTGAAGTTCTTCTATCCAAGGATCCTTCCTCGACTTTGTGAAGCGCCATCTGTCAAGTAGCTGTCCGTTAGTCACTCACTCTACAGCAGGAAATGGCACTAAAAGCTCTGTGCTGGAAAATAACTGTACTTCAAAATAAAGTGCGTTTCACTTGGGGTCTGTTCAGAATGTGACCAAGTGTCTGAGCCCTATTTTAAAATCACATTTTGCTGCCCCATTGCATCCTTGTATGCACTGCAATACACAGCAATACACAGAACGCTAGCATAGTGTCAGCTAACTAAGCTAAATAACACAGTACCACAGCTAAAAACAAACCATATGATTGGTTGACGCCTCACTGCGTCATTTGAGTGCTGGAAAACGTTGAGGCCAACTCACTTTGTTTGTAGCACGTCGCAACCATCAGCAGCGACTAGTGGCGGGCGTCACTTTGTAGCTTCATGCCATCGGCTTCCATTGAAAATGAACTGTAGTCTGTTGCTGTGTCAATTGTAGTGTGAACAGAGCATAAGTGGTCAAAAACTCCACAGGATGTCCTTAAGTATTTCTTTAAAACATTAAATATTTATGACTCAAGGCAACAATTGAATTTGTTAGAAAAGGGTTTTGAGTTTAACACTCAAAACTCTGCCCAGCTAAACTGTGTGGGTGTTGCTAAACTTTCCTTGGTGCAGAAAAATACCTGATATCATCTTTTTCCAACTGAGCCCCGCCCACTTTAAACATGTCATGAAGTGACCAAAATTCCATTAACTGTCGCTGAACATTTTGTGTTAAAGGAGGAACCCAACGCTCAAAAAAGTTTGTTTCCATCATTACAGAAGTGACAGTATTTCAGCTTATTGGTAGACATTTACTTGTCAAAAGTAAGACTCAGTACCAGACTTTAAAATGTGTGGACACACCTCAGCTGAGCAAAAGGCCTTAAAATAGAAATGAGTTTTTAACACATCCTATTTTAGGAGACTAACAACAGCATAACCCAGCATAGTAATGAAGAGTGATTTTTCCATTGGACTTGAAGAGGAGCAATTAATTCCATTTCAGGGATCAATTGCGGAGCAGGAGCAGGAGTGGGAGGACATCTTATTGCGCGGCGTGTCACAGTCTGAGATAACTCCAGCTGTGAAGAATTACATGTCATATTAATCCACCCTACATTGAAGTTGCTCATTAGAGCTTGACCCGACACCCTTTGATCCTCTCGCTCCTGCCTTCGTGGCTTTGACATGGTTATGTACATCACTGCAGGGGGCTCCCGTGGTGTGTGTTGCGTGTTCCCTTAAAGTTTTAATTAAAACACAATGTTCTCTGGATCCCAGGTGTCCGTGTACTTTTTAAAGTATATAGGCATACATACAGCGTGCTAATCATACTGCATCCTGGGAAGAACTTCGTGAACCCTCAACACATCACACTGACTGCTTACTTATTGCTTTATACTGAAAGAGGTGACAATGTACCTGATGTTCATTTCAGCAGTGCTGGGGAGTAGCTAGTTACATCTAAATCTTTAACATTTCAACAGTAACCTTCTGTGTGGTTACTGTTGTAACCAGTGTGTTTCATTACCATGTTTGAGGTGCCATGCATGAGTGAATAATATCAGGAGAATTATGCCATTATGTTTTTTAATTGGACCTGCACTTGACCAAAAAATATATTTCTATGTAATCTGTAACTTTCACTTTTCGTATTTCAATTGTAGCATGAGAAAATTGGTTAAAACATGTGATACCGCTTTCTATTAAGCCACCTGTTAAAATGGGTTTAAAGGCTAATGACTTTATTAATGGATAAAGCAGAAATAAGTCTGAGGAAGAGCCGTTATACAGCATTGAAATCCCTCCAATGGCAGCTGCTCGGTGTGCAGATGTATTCTGTGCTGCTGCTCCTTTCCCCTCCCTTGTAGATCTGCCCAGGTGTGCTACATTACTTAACGAGGTGCAGTGCACCTGGCGTGGAGGACGTGCTTAAGAGCTCCTGTGCTGCACCAGAGGAGAGAGGCCTGTGGTCCTGCTGCCTCTCAGCAGCCTGGGATTATTTTGTTGTCTTGTTTGAGTGTTTTATTGCTTAATATATCCCATGGATTAGGGAGTTTTAAAGATGTCCTATGTGGTTATTTTAGGTCAGTGGTGGAGTTTTGTTTGGCCCATAGGGCGTAACAAGATGTGTTTATATCTACTTAAGCACCCACTCCATTTACTTTTTTTAATTTATTTATTTACTTTTACTAATGCCCTTTCTATCAGTCATTAATAGAGACACTTTGGGGTTGTTCCTGGTTGTGAAAATTCCCTTTGGCTGTACTTAATTCTCTTTCTCTTTCTCTTTTAGGGCCTATAGGAAGTGGTACCAAAATTTGACTTCAGCTAACAATTATTTAATTTTTAAATAGAGCTGCAACAATTAATCACTCAGATATTTTCAAGAAAAAAGTAAAAATTCTGTAATTCCAGCTTCTTGGATGTGAATATTTTCTGGTTTCATTAAACTGGTTTTCTTTTACGTTATGGACAAAACAAGACATTTTAGGACGTCATCGTGGACTTTGGGAAACACCGATTGACATTTTTCACCAATTTCTGACATTTTATAGATCAAACAACTAAACGATTAATCTAGAAAACAATTGACAGATTCACTGACAGTGAAAATAACCATTAGCTTTATGTGCAGATTATTTTCTTGATAAACTGATCAATAGTTTCTCAGTCAATCATCAGGAAATAGTCAAGAGTGTTTCTCACGTTTTGAAGTAATGTATTTAAATAGCTTGTTTTATTCAACCGTCATTTCAACCGAAATATATTTATAATATAATTTATAATTTACCGTCATGTAAGACAAAGAAAAGCTTTAAGCCCTCAAGTCTGAGAAGCTGGAAACAGCAAGTGTTTGACAAATTTGACTTCAACATGACTAAAAACAGTTTACTGATTTCAAAATAGTAGCCAGCAGATTGAATTGTTAAACAAGGCGACTAATTTTATGTGAAAATATATGACAATAAGGGTGAATGGGTTAATGCAATGGTGGAAATAGCATCTTATGACTGTATGCTCAGTAGAATAAATGGCGATCAGGAGAAAGCAGTATCTCTTTGGGACCGGTTCTAGACTCATATCAAATTTGAATACAAGCCTACATGATTATGAATTTGCTCTGTGACTATGTGACCCTGTAGAGTGATGTATGAGGACATCTGTGTTATTGTTTGTTGGTTTGTTTCCTTTCAGACTTGTTTGTTAATTTTTCTTTACACAGTGGAGTCCACCTCCATATTATAAAAAAACAACCTTGTATTCATGTATGCCCCGCAAATAATACATGTATACCATTTACCAAGCCTTTCAAACCAATAAAAACTTGAATAATATATAAATAAAAATAGTAGCCAAAAGATTGATTCGTTAACTAAGGCAACAATTTTTGTGTGAAAATGTATGACAATAAGGGTGTAGGTTTTGTCTCAACATTGGGAGGGACACATATAAAAGGGGTCCTACGCCAGAATATTTTGAGCATCAGACAATTTTAATGTGGAGTAACGTCACAGTCTTGATTTTTAAGCTTTAACCACTGGTTTTTACCTTCTTTTATCTCTCCTGTTCATTTTATTCAGTTTTATTTATTTACATATTCACTCTCTTTATATTCTATGGAGTTTTAAACATCTTTTTTTGTTAGTTTGTTCTGTTTTGGTTGGTTTGCTTTTTTAATATTTTATTGTCTTGTGTCTGTGTCGTTCCAATTTTGCCATGTGAAGCACTTTGGGCTGAATAAATAAAGTTGAGATGGGTTAATTTCCTGCATTTTGGTGAATTTTTATGCACTAGATTGTGCCTTCTGCATCATTTTATTTCGTACATGTCACTAATTTTGTCACGAATAAGGTCCTCTGCATATGTTTTAAATATTAAGGAGTACATGCCCCCTGTGTCCCCCCAAAATCTACACCTATGCATGAGGATAGGTGGACAGTTTTTCATGAAGGTACAGAAATATATGTCAGTAAACAATACATCTTTGACAGAGAAAATGAATTCAATAAGTGGTGGTGTCTTTATATAAAATATTTTATTTTTTATTATATATTTTTTATTATATTTTTTTCGTAGAAACTATTTTATATTTTATTTTATATTTTTATATTTAATTGAGTTTTATATGTTAATGTAAAATTTAAGGCAGTGTTTTG